ATATATTAGAAATAATAAATTTAAATTAATAACCTAATCTAATTAGAAAAAATAATAGTTAGATAATAAATAGAAATAACCTATAACGTTATATTAAATACTTAGTAAAAACGTATACTAATATTGAAAATTAAAAAAGAATTAATCTATTACTATATTTAATTTAATAATAAATAGCCGATTAATAAAATTCCTATTTCTTTTAAGAAGTTAAAGTACCCGAACGGGTATAATAAAATAAATTAATAAATTAACTCTAAAGAGTAGTACGATACCGATTTTTTATATAACCTCTTACTTTAGTCTAAACTAAATTCTCGGATTTAATGATAGATAAAAAGAAGTAAGAAGGCGAAAATAATTACTAATCCACCCGGCGAAAACTTTTAACCAGCCCTAATTAATAATAGAATAGTTAGTTTATACTTCGAAGGTATTAAATTGGTAATTCCTCTAATGCCCCCGAAGATAAAGGAAATTCTAATTACCCTTTAAATAAGGAATAAGAAAAGGGTTCGTCGGAAGCGGTTAGAAATAAGGGTTAAATATAATACAAAAAACTGGGTAATAATTAATAATTTTTACTTATCTGCCAAAATTATAATAAATATAAAATTTCTAAAGGGTAAGACTGTTCCTAAGGGGATAAGGCTTATAAATATGGAGTTCAAATATTACCCTTCCTTTAGAAATCTAATTTATTAAGATATATTATTACCCTATTAAATCGATCTAATATTCGTTAAGGACGCAATAACGGCGGATTAGTATATAATTAATAAGGAGAAAAGGAGGCGGGTTTTAAAGAAGAAGGCCGATAAGAGAAAGGTAAGGCAATAAGAAAAACGAACTAAGAAAATAGAACAAAGAAGAAAAAATAAAAATTAAGGAGCAAATTTCCGGGTATAATAGTAAAAAGGGGGTTATATTATCTTTTTGTACGATAAGTTTTCAAAATTAACGTTTTAGTTTTTAGTAAGTGTATATAGAGGACCTATGGGTAGATTTAAATGGAAGTTTAATTTAGGGAATTTTTTCTAGTTTTTGAATATAAATTAAAAGGGTTATCAAAAGTAGAGTAATTCGGATAAGGAAAAGTAAATCTATCGGACCGTCTCTCCCAAATTCCGAAAGTAGGTAATTATAGTAGAAATTTCTAGGGATAAAAAAGGTAGTACTCCTCCTTAAAACGAGAGGAAGGAGGGTAAATAATTTAAATTAAATATTACTTCGACTAATAAAATATATTTAAACTTCGCTCCCAAAAAGATTTAACCGTTGAATTTACTCGTAATCCCCTCCCCAAGAAACTAACCTCTAAATTTACTCCTTTCTCTAAAGTAATTAATTTAGAGGTAAAGCTCTACTTCCCCCTCCTTCCTTTGGTAATTAATAGCTATGGTTTAAAGGCTTTATTCTAATATCCTCGCGAAATTATTCCTAACCTTCAGATTAGCACCTTACTCTAAGGTTTTAGGTAGGCTATGCTTTTCTGTGGTGGTGTGTTTTTGCTCTATTTCAATATTAAAATTAAATATATTGAATATAATAATGACTTTAATAGCTAATACGTTAAGGATAAGTTAATTATATGCTTTATTATTCTCAAACCCTTAGTACTTCATATTGAAATTTAAAATGGTAATATTAAACGTTTAAAGGATATAATTAAAGAAAAGGCGTATATAATAATAAATAGCGCTAAATTTCTTTATAACCTTTAGTTTTAAATCGTTTTAACCTCGGTTTATTTTATTAACCGATTGCCTAAGTATTTTTATAATTAGAAGTTACTATACGAACGGTTTTATATTTTTATAGCCTATTATAAGGGGGTGCAAACTGAACCCTGTAAGCTTAATTTTAATTATTTATGTATTTATAGTTATAAAATATACGCGATAATGGGTACCGTATAAAAGAAAAAGTAACGGCGTAAGAAACCTTAATAAAAAGTTTTAATCGGATTCTTTATCGGTTACTCTACATCCTTTATTTGTTAAATTTACAACTTATAAATTAATTATATTATTTATACTTATAATGTACTCTTTAATAAAGATTCAATTTACTTACGGAACTTTAATAATTTTAAAGAAGGATTAGGGCTAGTTAGCGATGAAATTGCCGATTTATTTAATTAAATTAAGTAATTTCTTTAATTATTTACGTAATATTTCGAATTCTTTAATACGACCTAAAATATAGAAAATAATGGTTTTACCCCTCTCTTACCATTATTCTTTGATAATAAATTTTAAAAAAATAATAACGAAACCGTTTCGAAATTAATAAAACCTACCGTTTAAAGTAAAATATCTATCAACTTTATATTTAATTACCCTACCCCGCTAAATATACTACTAATTACTTCTATTACTGGCCTTATAACAAATTTATTAAAATTTATCTCCTTCCCGACCTTCGAATTATAAGAAGCCGTATTCAATATTAAGAAACTTATTTAATTAATTAGGTAGCGGTAAAGGAAAATAAAAATAAAAATAGAAATTAACCGCTTAATTTCTAAAGGTAATAAATTAGATTCTATTAAACGTTAAAACCTCCTTCTAATCCTAAAGATTTATTGCGATTTCGAATATTATAATTTAAGTAATCTTTTTAAGTAAATAAAGGAAATATATTTTAACAGCTAAAAAGAGATGAGGTTATAAGTTAAAATTGACGAAGACGTTCCCTATACTCAAGGTTTTTAAATCTTTAATTATATATAGGTATACGTATATAAATTTAATAAATATAGTCGGTTATTAAAAGTAAAAGCTCGCTTTATAATTAGAAGAGACTAGTAATATAATTATAATCAGGAGACGTATACTTTTACGTTAGTTAGTCGTTTATTTCGGTCGATTATTGCCTACGCTATTAAATTCGATTTTAAATTTATTTAATACAATATAATAAATACTTTCGTTAACGCCTACTTTAATAAGAAGATCTATATATCTATACCCCCTAATTATTAAAAGTACGGTATTATTTTTGAAAGCCTTAAAGCCTTTTATAATTTCCGATGAATTCCTTTACTATAGTAATAAAAATTCAATAGGACCTTCGAAAATTTAGGGTTTAAACTATTATTTAAAGATTTGTATATCTTTAAACGCAATAGAATCCTAATTTTCTATTACGTTAATATTATTATTTTTACTTTTAATTAATTATAATATAATAAAGTTACTTGGGTTACGAAGAAGTTGGAGGAGAAGTATAAATTTACTAATAATAATAACCTTTAATAATTTCTAAGTATTGAAATTATTCGAAACTAAAAGGTAAACTATATTTAAATTGTTTTAACGGGAGTATATTTATAAAATTACTAAATTAATTAAAAATCCCTATATTTTCGCTTTCATTCTAATAAATAATAAAGAATTTATATTCTATAATAGTATAACCTCTTTTAATAAAATCCAGGAATACTAGGTCGTTATCGGCTCTATAATATACGCCGCCGTAATTACCCAGCTTAATATTACTTTCGCCGCTAACCGATTAGCTCGCTATAATTACAATCCTAATCCTCAATATCGTAAAGCTATTAATAAAATTTTGTATTACCTTTAATACTATCTTAATCTCTCCTTCTATTATAGTAAATTAATAAAATTCGAAATCGCTTCAAATACGTCGTACACTGATAATTCTCTAAATCGAAAGAGTTTATACAAATTTATAATTAAATTCTTTAATAATTTAATTTATTAGGGTATAATTAAATAAAAGACGGTATTTATTTTAATAATAAAAGTAGAACTATTATCGATTTTAAACGCTACTAAGGCAGCTATCGCTATTATATATCTATATAAGGAGATTAATATTCCCTTTAATAAGGATATATTTATAATCGATATAATAATATATAGATAATCTGTATATTAATTATTGAAGTAGGGAAATTAATAATTAAATTAACATACGTTGATATATATCGTTACTAATTAAAGTAGGAAATTATAGAGGGAAGGATTAGAATTAAATATTTGGAGACGAAGAAAATGCTAGTCAATAGATTAATAAAGGTTTTAGGATAATTGGATTACGAGAAATTCTGTAAATTAATAGGAATAACGAATATACTAGTTTGTAAGGAGATAATGATAGATAAGGAGATTCTGGATAATACTTTAGAGGATATTTATAGTTTAGCTAGAGAAATTGATGTACTAAAAGAGAGACTCTATAAATAGCTTCACTTTTGCCCTGTTTAGAAGGTCTGTAAATGAGGGGGTATGTCAAATTCAAGGGTAGTTTTAGCTATACTATATAGAGGTTAGCGCTCTAGCTACCTAATATTGCTTAATTTCTGGATATATCTGGGTTACCCTAGCACCCCCCATACCTTCTGGGCGAGTCAGCATCACACACTCTTCAATCAATCAATTCTGCACCGTCACATCTGACAGAGGCACCACAGAGGGGGGGCAGAGGTGGCATTGGGGTGTCGCGCTATGCGGTGCTATCAAACGACTGGTGCCACGGAAGAGGAAATGTTCCGCTTCTTCGTTGTCGAAGGGTGAACCCGGCCATGTGGATTGATTGATTGTCCTTCTTGTTCTGGATTTGTTTCGCGCCTGGATGGAACGTTGCGATCATCGGTAACAGACCGCTGGGCTCGCAGTTTAAGCGAGGCGCTTGACCTCTTTTGGTTGCCAAAGTGGGCTGACAGCTAGTTGGTGGTGCAAAAATGGATCGCAAGCGTTTTGGACCGCTGGGCGGAAAAGAACCGCCCGGTGAGTTGATAAGGCTTGCAAGGCTCCGTCGCCGGGTGGTCCTGGGCGGGCTCCACATGTTCGTCTCTGAGCGGAGTGCGCCCGGTCCGAATCCCGTGCTCTGCTCCGAATGTGGGGTTGACAGCTGTCCCCGCCCCGCTGTTAGAGCACAAAGGTACCCCGCCAGCCCACTGTGCCTTCTAGCGTTTGAGCCTCGCCAACCAAGCAGGACCAACACAAGAACCGCGATTTGCGACCATTTGAGGTGCCGACGTCAGGCCCGTTGGTGTCGAGTTGTCGCAAACCTTCCATTCGGCATTCCCGTGACCGAAACCATTCCGTCGAGTTCTTAGACCACGTCGATATCCTAGACTCCTTCCGATACCGAACCGAATCCGTTTGCAAGTTGAACCCGTCGCCGGCGCATAACCACCACCTCCGCGATGCCCCCCCTGCCCGATGCCAGCAATGGCGGAAACCGAAGCAGCCCGCTGCTCTGGCGCATCCTGAAATTCTTCCTTCGACCCTTTCGCGGCCCCATCGATCGGTTCCGTCGTGCTTCTCGCGCCGCCGCATACCCCATCCAAGGCATATACTACTTTTTGCGCCATCCCGAATTCTATCCCGTGTTCCTAGGCCGTCTACTCCCGCTATCCATCATCTCGTTCCTGGTGTATCTGATCCTGTTCACCTTTGCCTTTATTCCCCAGCTGCTGTTCTTGATGATCTTCCAGGGAAAGGCCGGAGCTTGGTTCAATGCGGTGGTGCTCGTGCTTGGAGAGGGCCATGTGGTGATTCAGGGTCTGTTTGAGGGCTTCTTTGTCGACGAGGCCCAAGTGGATATCTTTGACGTAGGTTGAACATAGGTTGAAAGGTTGGGAAAAGTCTGCTAACCATGGGACTAAAAAAAGGCAACGCTAATCAACCATGGCCTGACCGATCTCGTCGCGCCCCACCGTCTGCTCTTCCCGGATGCGCCCACTTCTGTCAAGATGTTGGGCAAGCCAACCACCAAGGCCGAGTTCCAACCTTTCAGCCTGAAACAAATCATCGAGCTTATCGTCTTTCTCCCGCTCAACCTGATACCCTACGGTGGCACGGTTTCCTTTCTCATGATTACCGGTGCTCGGTACGGAAAGCTGTCGCACCACAGATGGTTCCAGCTGCGAGGGTTGAGCAAGAAGGAGATGAAGCGGGAACGCAGCTACTGGTCGTGGGAGTACACCTGGTTTGGAACAGTAGCGATGGTCCTCCAGCTGATACCCGTGCTGAGCTTCTTCTTCCTCTTGACTACCAGCGCTGGAGCCGCGTTGTGGGTAACAGAACTGGAGGAGAGGTCGCGCGTCAGAGTTGGAAGGCCCGTTACTGCCAACGACCAGGCGGCTCGAAACCAGCCAGACGAGCCCGTCTACCATGATGGTATCTACCATGACGATCCGGTATAGATCATGGACTGGCGTAAGGAACAGACGTATCGCTTAGTATATTCCTTTCCCCTGGTCAGCGGATGCCTCGTTTTGCTTTTAGGTACCCAAACTCTATCACTAGAAGGCCACTCTAGTCTTGTCAGTCAATGTTACAGTCATTGTGTACTCCCGTCCTTCTCGACGGTCCGGTCTAATATTTGCCCGCCACTTCTTTTTCGCACTTCTCCTGAGCTTGTCACGATCCAGAGATTCTGTTGGCAAATATCACACCAACTTTAACACACTCAGGAAGAAAGGAAAGCATAACCACTCACCAGTGCATTGCCACAGCACGAACCCGATTCTTCATACGTACCTCCTTGGTCTGGACACCATTCGGTCGCCGTATCAACGGCCTACTTTCCCTCCAGGAACAACGCAGCTGGCGTGGAGTTGCCGCAAGTCGTTTACAAATCCGATTCAGAGCAGAAATTCGGAAATGATGGGTTTCAAATGCTGCGAGAACCTTCCCGATGTTTTTGGAGAAGCCCGCCACGGAAAGTTCGATTGGCGTGAACTGAAAGAGTGGCAGGAACCAAGAGAGGCGTTGCCGCAGTGGGCATTTGGGACAATTTCGTGACAGAGTCTTGGGCTTGGTGAGCGGAAGGAGCGACGGCCCGGGTCACGGCAGGAAAGGACGCCGGTTCCGGTTCATTTCCAGGGCATCGCAGTCTTCCACGTGAGGAGAGCGCTCCTCAGCATCTTGTAACTCCCGTCTCCGTGGAAGCCTGCCCGTCAGCTCCCACTCAGAAACTTCACCTTCCATGGTTCGGTTGGGGACGACTCACGATGGGAAGTGCGGCCCCCTTCCACTCCTGCCGGTTCGAGGTACGTACCGGACGAGCGTGACTTCATTGCTGCTCCACTGCAGTCAATGTGTCCAATCTCATCAGTCCTGTTCTCGATGATGTTGGCCATCACGCGTCACGCGAAGACTTTGCAAGCGGGAAGGAGCGATATGCTGAGGAAAGGACAGAGAAGTTCGGGTGGATATCCTCATTCCCGAATCTCGATGGCCAAGTCCTCTCGCAGACAGAGGTGGCAGTTGAGGAAGGAACGTCCCTCTTCATGATCTCACATGGACCAGTCCCAGCCCTCCAGTCATTGAGCGAGCTCCTTCCATGCCAACCAAGCACATCATCTCTCCTCATTTCCTGCCGCATCCTGGAAGAGATTTCATGGCATGAAGTCCCTCCCACTTGGTCGACTCTCGCACGATTGATGTCCATGCTTGCCTCCCCCGTCTTGTCTACGATGCACAATCTCCCACTTCCACCACAACACCTTCCTCCCCAATACCATGAACATCAACCGCGGAGGAAGTCGACATGCTGCTCGTCCCCGACCTCTCGTCATCTGCTTGAATGTTGGGAGACGAGGTTGGCCCTCCAGATGGGCTACATAAGACCGCCTTTCCCCTCCCCTTGTCGTTCTCTGACTTCATCCTCCTCATCCTTCTCCCTCAACTCGATTTCTCTCTACCTTGTTGATCTCGGCATCATCAGATCTCCCGCCACTTTCTTGCCTTTTGGCCTTTTCCCTTCTGGCATCACGATCATTATCACCTACTTTGTGCCCAAATAGTTATCTTTCCCTTCGTCACCTTGAGAAGCAAGATCACCACTTCGGCATCCAGTTGCTGACACCAAGATGCGTCTCAACGCGTCTTTGGGCGTGCTCTCGGGCATAGCCTGGACAACATCCGGTGCTGTTGTCCCTCGCAAGTGAGTTCTTTCCCATCCCTCCTCCATCCTTTCACATTGTCTGTTTTCTGTGTTGCTGACTTGTCTCTTCCACAGTCTCGATTACGATATCGACACAACTTGCACGAGCACCGAGACTGGCCATGGCACAGTCTTCGTCACTGTCCCTGGCGGCGACTCTCCGACTGCCGCAGCTGGTTCGGTCTTCACTCTCACGGTTCCTGTTGGCGGTTCTGATCCTGCTGCCGGGTCTCCCGGGTCATTCGGTTCACCTTCTGGTTCTGGCAACAATGGTCTTCTTTCCTCCACCTGCACCACTGAGTCTTCTGCCTTCGGTTCTCCCTTCGGCTCTGCTGGCACTCTTGAACCTGTCACCATCACTGTCACGGCTCTCTCTCCTCCCATGAGCACGGTCACCATCCCAGTATCGACCATCACCATCAACACACCTGGCGCTGGTTCTGGTGCTGGCAACAACGGCAACGGTAACTCTCCTGGTTCAATCGTCACAGTCACTGCTCCTCAAGCATCTCCCAGCCCAGCTTTCCCAGGCTATCCAGGTTCCGGCATCACAGTCACCATCCCCGGCGGCTCGGGCTCGGGCTCGGTCTCCGGTTCCTCTCCAGCAGGAGTCACTGTGACTGTCCCTCAAATATCTGGGCAGGCCGGTGAAGTCGTCACTCTCACAATACCAGAAGGCCCCAACCAGTCCGCCACTGTTGTGCTTACTGTTACCATTCCCGACGTTGCAGACAGTCCTGGGTCATGGTCTACCATCGTCTCAGCTCCTGGCCTTGATGGCGCGACATCTGGTCCGCTTGTCACTGTCATTGGCGGTACATCGGCCGGTCCACAAGTGCCAACCAACTTGCCAGTGCCTGGAGGTCTCCTTTCTTCGACATGTACCGACGCGCTCACACTTGGGGCTGGTGGCTCCGGCAACACTGGTTCCGGCAATACCATCACTGTCCCTTTGCCTCAGCTCACCACGATTCATGGGGGCAAGGAGTCCTACCCACCATTCTTCGGCAGCCTGAATCCTCTCACAATCACTTACACGATTCCTGCCGAGCCTGGCATGTCCACTCCTCTTGTCGAGACTCTCACTGTGACACCCAACCTCCCCTACCCACCTGGCGACCCGGGCTCCTCATACGGACCGACTGATCTGACTATCCCACTTGGTCCTTTTGGCGTTTCCAGCTCTGCCCCCGTTGGGTCTTCATCAGGTTTCACCTTGGTCACATACACCGTCCCCGCTGATGGCAACTCTCCTGGCTACACCGGCGTCTTCACTTTGACACCTGGTGCCGGCTCGTCTCCCGGCCAAGGTGGTCAGAACGGCGGTTCGCCCGTCACTGTCACTGTTCCCGAGGCCACTCAGCCCGGTCAGAACGGCGGATCGTCAGGCGAAACCGGCTACCCTCCTTATGGCGGCTCTGCTACTTCTGCAGGCAATGGATCACCCGACACTGTCACTTTGACTGTTCCCCAAGCTGGCGCTCCCACTCAGTCTTTCTCTGGTCAGGGTGCTGGTCAGTCTGGCTTCGGCTCTGGCAACCAAGCTCCCACAGTCACGCTCACGGTTCCCGCCGGCAGCACTCCGGGTTCAGGTTCGGGTGGCCAAGGCAGCGGTCCTGGTTACAACAACGGCCAGTCGACTTGTTTGATTCTGACAATTCCTGGAGCGAACTCTGTTGGTCAGTCTAGCCTTTTGACTGTCACTGTTCCAGCTGGTTCTGGTTTCCCCGTTGGCGGTTCTCCTTCTGTGCCTTACAACGGCCCCTCGGGTCCGGTCACCGTCACAGCTTTCCCCTCTCCCGGCGCCTCTGGTTCTGGAAGCAGCCCGTCTGGCTCAGGCGACGATGATCAGTCAACTTGCCTGACTCTCACGCTTACTGGAGCCAACGGCCAGCCGAGTCTTGTCACTGTCACCGTTCCAGTTGCCTCGGCGTTCCCCGATGGTGGTTCTCCTTCTGTACCATACAATGGCCCTTCGGGTCCGGTCACCGTCACAGTTCCACCAACTCCTGACGCCTCTGATCTGGTCCCCGGAAGCGGCTCCTCTGGCTCAGGCGATGATGATCAGTCGACTTGCTTGACCCTCACGCTCACCGGAGCCAATGGCCAGCCCAGCCTTGTCACTCTCACGGTTCCCGTATCGGACTATCTCCCTGGCGCTTCTCCTTCTGCCGTCGACAGCAATGGTCCGTCCGGTGTCGTCACTGTTGTCGTTCCCGAGACCACCGGTTCCAGCGGTTCTTCCTCCGGAAGCGGCCCATACGGCTCTGGTGGCAATGGCCCATCTGGTGTCTTGACCGTCACTGTTCCTAACAACTCAGGCTCCGGCTCTGGTTCGTCTGCAAGCGATCCTTACGGCTATGGCGGTGGCAGTGATCAGTCTGGCGTGTTTACCGTCACGGGACCTGCTGGTTCTCCATCTGTTGCCACTGGGTCTCCCGTCGTTGTCACTTACACCGTTCCTGCTGGACCAGGCGAGACCGAGTCTTCCTATCCCGTCACTTACACCATTCAGCCATCATCGGGATCTGGCTCAGGATCTGGTTCTGGATCTGGCTCATCTCCTTCGGTCAGCGGTGTCCCTGCTGGGTATGGAAGTGGTGGCAGCAATCCATTTGGACCTGGTTCCAACCCCACAGATTCATCTGGCGGATTTTCTCCTGTCACTGTCACTCTCGGGCCGTCTGATGGGTTCGCTACACCCGTGGTTGTCACATACACTCCCGGTGTGACTGTATACCCGTCTGGTTCTTCACCCACACCTTCTGAGGTTATCATTTCCGAGTCGGGAACTCTTTTCACCATCACGCTTCCTGCATCCGGGTCCTTGCCTTCCGCAACCTCGCCTGCTTCGTCGGAGATTGTCGTTTCTGAGTTTGGGACTCTGCTCACCATCACGGTTCCTGCAACGGCACCGCCCGCTCAGCCCACTGTTGCCACCGGCTCTGCTATTGTTCCCGGATACGGCTCTGGTGCCGGTTCTGGTGCTGGTTCTCTTCCCAGTGGCCTCACGGTCTTCACCATTACTCCCACTTCTGGCTCACCGTATATTGTCACTGTTCCTGTCGGCGGCGGCTCCGGCTCTAGTCCGTCCAATGTCTTGACTGTCACTGAGGGTCCGTCCCCCACTGGCTCTGGAACAGGGTCTGGATCTGGAAGCTCCCCTGACAATGGCGAGTTCACGATCACCATTGATGGCACCCCGGTAGTTGTTCCCCTTCCTCAGAGCAACACAGGCGCCAACCCCGGCCAAGGAGGCATTCTGACTGTGACTGAGGGATTGCCTTCTGGCTTACCATCGATCGTCACCGTTCCGGCCGGTGCTGGAGGCATCACTGCCCAGCCTGCTGCGACCCCTTACGGCGGCTCTTTCCCCGGTGGAGAAGTCATCACTGTGACTGGGCCTGATGGGTATCCTACTGTTCTCACGATCCCTGGTGGCGGCAACCCAGCAGCCACTCAGAGTGGCCCATCCAATGTCTTGACCGTCACTGAGCAACTTACTTCCAACACCCCTGGCCAGAATGGCTCCGGTGGATCGGTCATCACTGTCGCTGGACCTGACGGCTCACCCATCGTTGTCACCATCCCCTCCGGCGGCGACTCGGGAGCTTCGGCGCCCGTGTCTGGTCTTGGAACGGCTTTCACCCTCACCTTGACTCCCGGTAACGGCGGCTTTGGCTCGACAGCTGGTGTTCCTGGCATCTTGACCGTCACCGAACTTGCCCCCACGGCGACTGGAGGAGCCCAGCTTGGTGCCGGTGGACCTGGCTCTGCTTTCACCATCACTTTGTCTCCTGGCTCGGGCTTCCCTGGCTCTGGCAGTGGACCTCAGGGCAGTGGACCTCAGGGCAACGGACCTCAGGGCAACGGACCTCAGGGCTACGGCTCACCCAACTCGCTCGGCCCCATCTTGACCATCACTGAGGGTGGTGCTGCTCCTACCGGAGGTGCCCAACCTGGTGGGAATGGCGCCGGCACTGCTTTTACCGTCACTTTGTCGCCTGGCAATGGGCAAGGCAGTGGACCCCAAGGCTCTGGACAAGGCAACGGTCCTCAGGGTAGCGGTCAGGGTAACGGTCCCCAAGGTTATGGTTCGCCCAACTTCCCCGGCAACGGCCAAGGCTCTGGACAGGGCAGCGGTCCTCAAGGCAATGGACAAGGCAACGGCGGACCTGGCTCTGCTTTCACCGTCACCTTGTCTCCAGGCTCTGGATCTCCTGGCTCCGGCAGTGGATCTCAGGGCAACGGTCCTCAGGGCTATGGCTCACCAAACTCCGGCCTTGGTCCCATCTTAACTATCACTGAGTCACCTTCTGGGGCTGCCGGTGGTCTGCAACCCGGTGCGACTGGCTTTGCCACTGCCCTCACCCTCACCATCCCATCGGGCTCTGGCAACGGTCCCTCTGGTTCAGGCAATGGTCCTTTCGGCTCAGGCAACGGACCTTTCGGTTCTGGTAACGGGCCTTCCGGCTCCGGCAATGGGCCTTTTGGCTCTGGCAGTGGTCCTCAGGGAAGTGAGCAAGGAAGCGGTCCTCAAGGCTACGGTTCACCTAATGCTGGTGCCGGTTCCGTCTTCACCATCACTCAGGGAGGAGCTGGCGCGGCTCAACCTACCGGTCCTGTCTTGACCGTCTCAGAGGTTGTCCTCTCGGAAACCATCCCCATTGGCTCTGGTCTTTATTCGGTCGTTGCGTTCACCACTACTCTCGGCTCTGGATCGGGCTCTGGCTCGGGTTCTGGTCCTGCCTCTGGCCCTAGCATTGTCACCATCGATCCCAACGGTTCCGGCAACGGTCTCAACTCTCCCTCTGCGATTGGCGGTGGTGCTTTTGCGACCACTTTGACTTTGGCGCAGCCCTCTGCTGTGATTGCGACGGCACCTGCTCAGGCTCCTCAGGTCATTACCGTTCTGCCTTCGATCTTCACTGTCTGGCCTCAGAATACACTGCTCACCACCACCTCGTGCACAACCAGCAATGGCGACGCCTTCTTTGACCCCGGTCAGAACGGCGGCTTTGGTCCCTCTGTCGTCACCATGTGGCCGACGTACTCCATTGACACCACTTGCACCGAGTCCTCGACCAGCTATATCTCCGCCAGCGCTGTTGCACCAGCCTCGTCCTCCGAATCATCTACTGTCTTGATGTTGAGCAGCTCAACCTTGGCTGTCATCAGCTCGGGGCCTTCTCAACCATCACCCAGCGACTCATCCACTGTCCTGATGCTGAGCAGTTCCACCCTTGCTGTGATTAGCTCGGAGCCCGCGACTCCCTCTGCCGTTGCTCCGGAGCCTGTCAGCACTGCATCCGACGAACAGGCCATTCCCACTCTGACTGCCGAGCCCGCTGAACCTACCAGTGCCTCCGGCCCTGACCAGCCTATTGAGCCTACCGAGTCCTCCGGCGGTGGACAGAGCATTCCCGTTGTGACTCCCGAGCCCTCCAGCTCTTCGGATGAGCAGGCGATTCCCACCTTGTCGTTTGAGGCCCCGCCCGAGTCCTCTGCCGGTGAAGAGGCTCCTCCTCCACAGACCGAGTTTGGCCTTGGTCACATTCACCCGCGTGCTGCGCATGTTACTGTTTCCGCTTTTTCTCTGAGCGCCTCTACCGCATCAGTTCCCGCCGATGTTACCGCAGCTCCTTCAGTCATCTCCACTCCTTCCTCGGTAGCCCCAGTCCCGGCTTCTACGGCATCTGTCGCATGCGGCTCGCTTAGTGATCGTGGCGGTTACACCTTCAGGGTAAGTTTGTCCTTGGCCCTTTTTCTGCAGTTCAAGATCACTGACGTTTGCTCCAGTTTGATGACATCCCCGCTCCTGCGACAACAAACGATGATACCAACAGTGCCATGATTGTTCGCCATCAGCCTGTTCCTCGCCCTTATCACCGCTTCTTGTTCTCGGATGACTTCCGCGTTGTTCCTCCGCCTCAGTCTCGCTTTGTCCCGTCCTCTGGGTCTCAGATGGTTCAATACGACGGCGCATCCAAGAACGTTGCACAGATCGGCCTCGCCCAACTTCGCAACAACCCTTGCTTCCGCTTCGACTTCCTCGGCGTCAGCCTTGGTTGCAACTCGACTGCTGAACCATGCGTCTTCAACGTCAAGGGCATTCAGTGGAACGGTGTCCGTGATGTGATCCAGGCGAACAAGACCTTTGTGGTTGGCGCTTGCAAGAACACCGACAGCTGCGGTCTCAGCCATCAGATCCTGGATTCCGCTGCTGCGCTGCCATTCACCAACTTGACTGCAGTCAACATCACCTTGACGGTTGCCGGCAAGCCTGTGACCTGGTGGGCTGATGACTTGCAGGTCGCCTGGACGGAGAATGACTGCGCCACTGCCGCATGCCGGGCACTTGTGCCAAACACCGCCTCTACTCCTCAAAAGCCTTGGGGTGTTTCTGAGGAAGTGAAGGCGAAGGGTCTTCGTTGGTCTATCCGTCGCTGAAGGACTGAGATGTCTGTTCTACGGCAAGTCGTTCGATCTTGATTCTGAGCGGTTCTGTCACTCTTTCGTTTCATTTGTCCCGCTTGGGAATTGTGTTAATATGTCGAATACCATTTGCATGTTTTTACGACTTGTTGTTCCGCCCTCGGGATGAGGTGACAGTCGTGGGATTTCTTGGTGAATTGGTGGTCAGATAGAATTGTGTTTACGAAAAGGGGTGATCTTTACAGCGTGGTCATGTATTGGGAGGTGTGGAAGAGTCGAGTCGATGAGGAGTCGGAATCTTCAAAGTAATAGGGGAGCAGATCTGTCACTCTCTGTACAATTTTGGCCATATTCTCACTGACAGCTATAATTCAACTTGTTGTCGTGGGAAACTTTTGCCGCTGTGTCTCATACCTTTCCTCGTAGTGATTACATGTCTTGACGCATTCGAAGGCCCTGTCATGGGATAGTTCGTCACGACAAACGGCATAATGCACTCCATATCCCATCGTTGATTATGTCTTTTCGTCGGACATGCTCTGCGTCACAAGCGTATCACTTCAACCCTTGGACAGTCACGGTCAGTTCTCTATTACCTTGAAGTGCAAGTATATACCTGATCACTGACTTCGCCGAGGAAGTCCATGGCACATACCCAGGTACGTTTATATCTTGTCCATCTTTCTCTTTAATGCAAGAGCATCCACCTACTCTTCATTAGTCAAGTACTTGATCCAGAAACCAGGCAATATTTCACCATGTCAACCCACGCGATTGAACGAAAACCTGTTCCCTCGTCCTCCATTGAGGTCCCTCCTCCACCACCGAAATCCGAGAAACAAGTTCGTTTCGCAGAGTGGACTGAGTCCGAGGGAGGACCTTCGGCCATTCCTCCAATGATCCCTCCCATAGCCATCACCAGCTCGCTCCGTTCACCATCCCCGGCCTCGCTTCAAAGACCACCAACTCCAACCGAGTATTTTGACATCCCATATCCACCAGATACTTTTGACCCGGATAGCGATGTGCTTGATTTGAACATCCCCAGCACGCCACTTAGCCCGCGCCCTGAGCCCCACCTTGCTCTTCCCATCGCCCCATCAGCGCTGGCAATAAATCAAATCAAATCAAATCGGTCCATCGATTTGATTTGGTGGGTCAAATCGATGGATCGATTTGAGTTAATTTGATTTGAATTATATTTATTTGAATATCTATCACATAAAATCACGTTTTTGGGCTCAAAAGTACTCGGATTCTTACAATTTCTAACTTACTAAATTCCTAGAACCTCCCTACAGCTGTAAATACCTTCCCCAAAACAATCTCACGACGCTCCATCCACATCAAGTATATTAAACCCCCCTCAAGTATTTGCAATTAAGCTAGATTGTAGCCAAAATTTTACGCTTTTGATTATATTGATAGATTTAGTATTGAGGCTATATCTCTAATTATCAATAGTTAATTTAGCGCCGCTAAAAGAACGTTCGCAATTATCTACTATAGAGGGTATAAAATAGAAGTTAAATACTATACGTAATAAAGGAAGGTATATACTTTAATTAGCTTTCTACTACCCTAATATATTATTAATTATATATATTTCGTCGTTAAAGTATTGTCGCGGCGTAGCTAGACGGTGTGATGATTGTACCATTTTGCTAACTTGGACTAAAGACAAGAAGTTGAAGAGGAAAGAAATCCCAAAAGGGAAGGCTGATGGGAGAAGCGAGGTTCTTATACCCCAACTGGGAGGCAGCCGGAGCCAAGTCCAGAACCTTCACCTAAACCATGTAACCCATGACAGCACCAGCCGTCACAAGTAGTAGGCTAACTTATCCTCCTTCTTTAGCTATAATAGGAGGGTATTATAGAAATTATAATTAATAAACTAATTATTATTAACTATTCTAATTTATTAATTGCTAGTATTAGTTAGGGGGTCTTTAATTAACTAATTAATATAATTAACGTCGTAAATAGATTGTAAATCGGTGAGGATATCTTTATATTTTTCGGTAGTAAACTGCCTATTTACCTACCGCCCATAGTAGTTAGGGTATAAAATATATACAATCTAATACGTAGGGTATTACTCTATTTTATCTTTATATTACTTAAACTTTATAATAACCTTATTAATAATATAACCGACGGCCTCTATACCCTTCTTAATTAAATCGTTAATATAGTCAACGGGAAGGTTATTCCTTTAAGAGACGGCGGTTTAAAATAATAGAGTTTAAAATAAAGCGGTTCAAAATAGTCGAAACGAGGGTAATTAAAATAGAAATTAAAAGGGTTAAGAATTAGGGATTTTAGAAAGTAAATCTTCTATTGGGGGAGTTGGAAAAGAGGGAAGTGGGGGGGTACGTTTGCGGGTAGTACAACGAAGAAGTAGTTATTAAATAGTGGTAACTGTATTAATATTGGATTTTAGTATTTGAAGGCCCTTAAACGGTTTGAATATAATATTTCGCTTGAATTTAATTTTTATTTGGCGCAACCTCTCGATAAGGCAGTAGAAGCTAAGGATAATTAACGAAAAGTAAGGAGCCTTCTCTTCAAATTTCTTAATAAGATCCTTAAACAATCCTATTACTTCTATAATAGTTATATGAATCCCCTAATTATCGTTATTAAATTAATCCTCTTTAGGTAAATACTTAAATATTTTAGGGTAATTAATCATTTTATTAATATAGTAATCGATATATTTACAAAATTTCTAAGCGCGGCGGATTATTCAATAATTTAAATTCTAACGCGTCGTATTATTAAGGATAACGCCGATATTAAGAGAGAGGGTATCGCTACCGCTAACAATAGCAGTATTTAACTAAAGTTGAACCTTATTATTACAAGTATTACCGCAGCTAAAATATACAATTTCTTTAAACTAGGTATAATATTAGGGGCTTCTTCGAATAAATTAAATAATATTATATAATTGTGACGAACGGCAGACTTGATCTGCCTAAGTGGGATAGCTGAAGGTAAAGACTATCAAGTGCAGTTCGGTGAAGCCAAAGGGTTCACAACAAGTATCGTTATACGTGTCTCTGGTGACGATGGTCTATTGACTACTGTCGAACTATCTGACAATCTGAGTTCTCCAGTCGTTCTCTTATACTCTCGTGCCTCTAGTTACAGTTGTCTGGCTCATTGACTATGGGCTGGCTCATCTTTGTGAGCCTGGCTCGCCTTTATGAGCCTGGCTCACCTTCATGAGCCTGGCTCACCTTCATTAGCCTTGGCTCACCTTCCCTGTCATAGTTACACTGCCCAGCCTTCACGTAGCTACTGTGTACCAGTGGCTTGGTTGGCCCGTGTCCTTTGCTTAAAGTTCGTAACAATAATTGATTAACTAGCCTAGCTTTACGCTACTCCCGGAATAAAGTATTTTTATTTATAATAAATAAATAAAAATTTTTTATTAGATTTGGAATTAACTATTTAAAGAAGCTTACCTTTTATAGTAACTTTCGCGCCGAAATTTAAAAAGTAACTAAAGTAATATAACCGACGGAGGGGAACCTCGTATTCGATATTGCTAGGGAGGAAAGAGGGGTAGAGTCCCTTAAAGATATAATAAATGCAACGGTTATTAGCCTCGATATTATTACTCTAAAAGTAAATAATATTATTAAACTATATTTCGAACTTTTTAAGAATTTAAACTATAGTAGCCGCAATATTCTCGCCGCTATAATTACCGCGGACCTCTTAAAGACCTATAAGATTATTTTTAAGGGTATAGGAGTAGTCGACGTCATAAATAAATATTAAGAATATCGCAAGCCTATTTAGAAATATTTAAAGATCGAAGGAAATATATTTCTTAAAGTATATATTAATTAAAAACTCTTTAAGTTTAATAAAATAAATTATATATTTATTCTAAATTTAATTAGCAAAGGTATAATACGACTTTAGTAGTAATCTTTCAATTATATTACTATTTAATAACTTTAATAACCCTCTAAAAGTAATATTTTTAATAATATTGAACGGGAGCTTTACGTTAATAACTATCTCTATTAATAATTCGCAGAATCTTTCGCCAATTAATCTAATAATAGGGAAGGATAATTAGTTAAATATATCTATAACCGATTTAACCTTCTTACGCGCTTATTTATCTATAGTCTCGTCGTTAGCAGGCTCCCTAACGTTATAATAACGTCGAAGGTAAACGATAATAAAACTAATTACTAAAAAGACAAAGAGATATTAATATACCTTATAATACTAATAATCATTAATTTCGATGTCCCCATCTATTTTGATTAAAAAAGTACTATATTTAATAATTTAGGAGGTCCGCTTAGAATAAGAATTTAATTATTTTTTTAAATATACTATTCCTCCTTAATTATAGCCTTCAGTTAAGTAAGGATATTCGCAGGTAAATTGTCAGCGTTAATTTCCTTTAATAGTTTAATTTAATCGGTTAAAGGGAAGCGGGGATTTTTTAACCCTTCGATAACGATAATGTACGTAGGCGAATCTTTAAAGGAAACGGTCAGCGTATTATTTACAATAAACGAGGTATCGGGTTCTTAAACGACGGATATTTTAACGGCGGTATTAATAATACTAAATAGAGGTTAGTAATAATTAATAATAAGGGGGAGGGAGACTAATAGTTATTGAGAGTAATAAGAGGTCGAGAGTAATTGTAGGCGATTAAGTAGTGTTGTAGCTAATTAGGGGAGATTGGCAATATAATTTAAAATATTAGATTTAGTCGATTTAGTATATAATGTAGAAAAATTTCACTAATCTAGGTAGTCTGGGCGGTTTTATTAGCTATTTGGGCGGATATGATTCGATGGATGGCTAATTGGTATGCCTAAGGGTGGAGGTAGGTCGATCTTTTAGGGGTAAAAATCATATGTTTTTACACTTTAAACCCTAACCCTATGATTCTACCGGACTGCCAAGAAGGCGGGCAAATCGTCAACTCAAATATGACGGTCGATTTGATTTGTAAATATAAATCAGGACCCCGATTTGATTTGAGTTGTAAATCAAATCGATTTATATTTGACAAATCGATTTGATTTATTGCCAGCGCTGCGCCCCATCAGTCACAGACGCCGAAACCCGAGCACGAAACAACCACATCTTCGCAGCAGCCACCAGCCTGTCAATCGGCATCACCCAACTCGAAGTCCGCCTAGGCGGCGTTGACCTAATCCCCGGTCTCCGCCAACAAGCATCCATCTCCCGTCTCGAATGCCAAGCCTTCTACAACTTCCTTTCCCCGCCTGACAAAGAACTTTTTCTCGTTGAACAACTCCCCATCTTCGCCGCTCGAGTGAGTGCCCTAGCTTCCAGAACAGAGGAGTGTAACCTCCGTATTCCGTGCGTGCAGGTCCTTGACACCAGGATCGGCGTAGGCGGTGGGAAACATGGGAAGGAGACGGTGAGATGGGAAGTGGGGGAGAAGGATGGACCGCCTTGTTGGAGGGATCTGGCGTTGGGAGCGGAGATTTTGGGGTGGGTTAGGAGAAGGATGAGGGTTTATGCTGGACCGGGGGGAAAGAAGGCGATGGAGGATGGGGTTGGGGGGAGGGTGGGGAGTGAGCAGGTGGCTCTTTGGGAGGATTTACCGGGGGGGTTGAAGGGGTTGGTTGAGAGGCCTGAGGGGAGTCAACACGAAGATGAGGATGGGGAGGATGGGGAGGCTAATGGTGAAGATGGGGGAGCTGGAGGGGAAGCCGAAGGGGTCGATGGAGGTGAAGATGTAGGCAAGAGAGCTGAAGGAGAGGAAGGGAGACGAAAAAGAATCGGGAGCAAGGTCAGGAAGCCAGGGTTTTTGACGCTGTGGCATGAGATGTTGAGACGGGATGATGTGGTTCTGAGGAAGAAGGAGGAGTTGGTGAAGATGATGAGGGAGGGTAGGGAGAGGATGGAGAAGGGGGAGTGTAGATGGTGTGGGGAGAGAGATGCGGGACCGGAGGGGAGACTTGAGGCGAGGCCGGGAGGGTGGTTGAGGAGGTTGAGGGGGCGGTAAAAGTCGTCTTGCTGTGCGGAAGTGCATCGTCACCAACAGGGAGTTGAGAGGTTGAGGCGGATGGGAGCGTGGCTCACAGGTCGAGAATTTGAAGACGGGACGGAAGAAAGAATGCCATTGTCTGCCAGAAGGTGAATGAGGTAGGTGATGCATTGGTATTGTTCTTTGTTGGATGGTTCATTTCAAAGGATGAAGGAACAATGACTGTTTGTTTGGGTGTTCTATTTCAGGAACGGGTAACGGGATGAATGTCGAACAATGAAGGATATGCTCCGTGTCGGTAGGTATACTTTGCCGTTCTGGTTGAACGTGGTCGAAGTCAAAAGGAATGATTCCTCTTCCGGTTTCTTTCCTGCATTCATGGTTTTGAACGGCATATTGTTTTCTGTAATAGAAGAGCAGTCCTGAAAGCCGAGAAGTTCACCGACAAGATGTCCCGCCGATACCCCGACAAGAAGTACTACGACGACGACCGCGGTCAACCACCAAGACCGCCGCGTTCACAGAGAGACCAAAGGAACGACGACAACCGTAGGGAACGTGATTACCCACCATCGAGATATCCTTCAAATTCGAGCTATAATAGCTCATCTTCGAGAAATCCCCCGGACCGACGCAACCCTCCGCCGAGATCAGACTATGGCGGATCGAGAAATAACCGTCGAAGATCCAGGTCACCACCACCCTACCCACGAAGAAACAACCAAATCATCAATAACCACCAACCAGGCGGCTTAAGGTCTGGTCGGTTATCACCACCACCGAGAGAAAGACAAGGTGAAAATAACAACTCCAGATCTGGCAGGGCGTCTCCAGCTCCAAGTACGAGCAGCGGAAGCCGGACTCCTGCACCAGCAAGGACAGCACAACCATCTCGAGCGCCTTCTAGAGCGCCTTCTCGAGCTCCTTCTAGGGCTCCTTCTAGGGCTCCGTCACCAGTTCGAGCTCCAGCTCCAGCTCCTCGTCCAGCGCCAGCTCCTCGTCCAGCTCCAGCTCCAGCCCCTCGTCCAGCGCAGTCTACGAAGCCCAAGGGCTTTCCAGCCCCCAAAACCAAGAATACCAGGAACACATTTCACTTCCTTGAACTTTCCCTCGTCGCAGATGCCATCATCCACGACTCGCACATCCTCCAGGATCTGGGGAAATGCATAGATGAATGTGAAATGGAGGATCCAAACACGCCTTGGGAGGAACAGGAAAAGGGAAAGGAGTTTCTCAAGTGGTTCGGGGAGTATAGGAGTTCCGTGACGACGCTTAGACCGGTTGTTCCGCGGGCGAATTTTGGGAATCAGGTGGTGAGGACACTCTGCTAACTCTGGTGGTGAGGAAGATGGGTCATGAAAGGGGTAGAACGGGGGAAGAGAAGAAATGGGGGAAAGAAAGGAAATGAAGAGGAATAAAAGCTAACAAGGACAACGAACAGATGCGAGATCACGGCCTGCTGGCGATGAAAGATATGATCAAGAAGAAATTAACGAGGGGGAAGTTGTTTACCGAGTTGTATCCGTTGCCAGAAAAGGATGGTGAAGGAAAGAAAGATGGCGAAGACAAGAAAGACGGCGAAGCCGACAAAGATGCTGACGCAAAAAAAGACGGCGAAACCAAAGACAAACCCCAAGAACCCCCCAAACCAACCATCGACGTCTCGACCGACGTAATCTGCCTCCTCCGCCCTCCCCCCTCCAAACGCTCCCAATACATAACCTTCGCCCCCTACCACCTCCCCTCTCCCTCCAACATATTAATCACCACCTCCTCCGCCCTCACCAACCTAGCGGGTTCCCACCCGCTCACCCTCTCCTCTACCCTCCCCGTCCTCCAGGGCCTCAAACGCATCGCCTTCCTCTGGGATTCCGCTGCACCCGCCAACGGCCCCGGTCCACTCCCCGCCGATTTGGCCTTTCTTTACCCGGGTAACTTACCCAGTCTGGAAACGATCTATATCCTGCATCCGGAGATCAGACCTAGGAGTGAGTGGTTCTGGGTGAGTCCTGAGTGCGATACGTTTCGGGGAGGGGAGGAGCAAGGGAGTGAGGCGCTGTTTGTGGAGGTTAGGGAGGGGGATGTCGAAAGAGAGAAGGGGAGTATGTGGGAGGTTTTGGGGGAGGAGAATGGTGGGGGGGATGGGAAGAGGGATGTGTGGGGGAGGGGAGGGGAGGTGAAGGTTAGTGAGGGGGTGAGGGATGCGTTGAGGGAGGTTAAGGTTTTGGAGGGGTTGTATGCTGAGGCGCCTGAGGGGGCGAAGGGGAAGGGGAGGGTGAAAGTGAAGTTGATGGGTTGTATTCCGATTAAGACTTGAGAAGGGGGTGGTTGATGGGAAGGATGAGGGCTGGAGAGCTGGCTTCAAGCTGTGGACCTGGAAGGAAGACGCAGTAGGTCCATAGGCGAGTCAAAGTGGTTCCTTCAACACAAACAATTGAACATGCATAAACGTCGTGATTCTCGTACCATTGTCTTTGCCCTCCTCAACCGCACCTGCCGCACAAGAGTCAAGACCCTCACTGAATGGCAATCTTACACGAGATGGAACCAAACTTGGTCTGCGGCACGATCATATCATGATCATAGTCAAAGTTCGCTCTCGTCGTATCCACCAGCTTCGCCCTAGGAACAACATGAAACGCCATCAAAGCGGCCATGATATACACCTCGCAGTACGCCAGACTATGCAACCAACAACCATTAGCATCACGTCATCATCATCATCCTCTTCCAGAAAAGGAGCAAGGAACTTACCTCTCACCAATACAAGCCCTTCCATGACCCGACTTGCCAAACGAAAGCAAATTCTTCTGCAACTTATAATCCGGCTTCCCGTCCTCCAACAGCCACCTCTCCGGCAAGAACTCATCCGGGCATGGGAACAGCTCCTCGTCCCAATGCTGAATCATGCTGGTCATGCCGACGGGCGTGCCTCTGGGTATGACCCATTCCTTGTTACTGCCATTGCTTTTGTCTCTGAACACCAAGTCCTCAGTCCTGGCCACTCGTGCGCTCCGGTGCGAAACACCCGGCATCATCCGCAGCGCCTCGTGCACCACCGCCCACATGTACGGCTTCTGTTCTAGCTCCGTCCACTTGATCGTGTCTGGGTTTAGGGGGGCCACGTCCTGCATCAGTCTGGCGTAGACAGTCGGTTTGGCGAGGAGCCAGAAGGTGATGGTCGTCAGAATCGCCGCCGTCGTTTCGGTGCCGGCCAGAAGGAAGTTGAACCCTTCCCCCGAGAGCCAGTACATCTCGTCCTCTGTCAACTTCTTCTTCTTGCCATTCTCTGAAATGCCCCTAATCAGCTCGGCAAAGACGCCCCCCTTTCCATCATCCTTCGCCTCATCTGACCCAAGCGCCTTCCGGATAAACTCCGGCACCAACACTTCCATGACATGCAACACCCTCTTGACATCCTCGCCCATCAAATTCATCCTGCTCGCCAGAAACGGCAGCGCAGCCGCGCTCCTGCGCATCAACGCATTATGTCGCATCCCGTACGCCGCGCGCATGAACGAGCTCGTCCACGTAGCAAAGTTCGGTTCCCACGTGCCCTCCTGATCGACGAAGCCCAAACTCTCGCCAAAGGCATACTGCGCGATGACGTCGGCAGTAAAACAATTAAACGCCTCCTTGACATTTTGCACACTTCCAATCCGCAAAAGTTTGTCAACCACCCGCCGAGCATAGTCCGTTACTTCGCTTTCTAGTGATAACATCTGCGACCGGGAAAAGAACTTGGATAAGGGAGCGCGTTTGAGACGGTGCAGCTCGTGCGAGACGGTGGAGAAGCCGGTGACGGAGACGGGCCCGGCGCCGCCTGTGTTGAGCTGGTGTTGGGATTTGTCGCGGATGCGCAGGGAGGAGGAGGAGGGGTAGACTTCGTCGGCGAAGGAGGGGGTGGAGATGTGCAGTTCGTGGGGGGAGATGCGGATTATGGGGCCTGGAAGGGGGGTTGTTAGCCTTTGTGGTGTGAGCTGGGAGTGGTAGCGTAGGCATTTGACTGGGGAAAAGGGGGAACGAGATGAGACGACGGGAGTTGGTTGTATTTCTTGTGTGTGACTTGACCAAGTTGAGAGCTGTGCTGAGAATAGAGGAAGGTGTTGTAGCTTCTCCTCGTTGCTGCTCTTCCAGGTCTCTCTCCATGGCTGCATGCATCGAGTTGGGAACCACCCCAACGTTTCCCTGCTCCTCGTCTCTTCCTCGGATATAAAGAGGGAAAAGAAAGAAACTCACCATATCTCCCATGCATCTCCCTAATCTTATTCGTATACTGTCCCTGCAGAATCCAATCGTACCAAGCTTCATAGAGGAAAGTCGCCGCGGCAATCTTGGGTCCAGGGAACTTATAAAGCGGATGAAAGGGAGAAATGTTGTAAAGAGCCAGAAGAACGCGGTAGCCGAGCCAGATGAGAAAGAGGTTGAGGACCGAAGAGGGCGAGAGGATGGTTTTGAGACTGAGAGGCGTTGTGCTGGAGAGGAGGGTGTCTGTCATGATGAAGGACTCGTTGTTGGGGTTCATAACCCCAGCTACAGGTATGGTGTCTGGAGTTGCCATGGTGGGCGGACGTAAGATTCCGCTTGGTGGTGAAGACTGGACTTGGCTGGAGAAAAGAGTGAAGTTCGAGACCGGAGAAGAAACCAACTTCCATTCAAGAGCAGGACAGGAAGGGAACTGAAGAGGGTACCTTATGCTGCCTTTGTACCTTTTCCCATATTTTCTCCATCCTTTCCCTTGCCCCTTCTTATCCGCTTCTTATTGATACCCCCAGAACCTCACCCCAACAGTAAACCCGGTGATCGACATAAACTCCCCTCCTTGACTCCATTCCCAATGCACCATAAGCACTTACAAGTTACCACCCCAGAAAACTCCACTATAAGGCTACCCCTAACGGAGTGTGCATGGATCCAGGATTCCAAAAGTAGCAGGCAGCCGCAAAAGGACCAAATATCATTGGTGTGTTGAGGCCGGTACTGCAAGAAAGAATTGCATGAATGGCTCCATCACGGAAAGAAAAAAGGTGTGTCCACTGTGAAGAACCTTATTTCTCACTGCACCGCGCTAGAAAACGGTGCAAGAAACAGGGCATCAGATGATTCGAGCCAGAAGAGACAACCAGCAATCCCAACCGTATTTCCAGACGACTCCCCTAATGAGTTGCAACCTCCGTCACACTCTCCCTATGCACCCTCGCCAACCACGTTTTCGCCATGTAGGCCCTCACCCTCTTCCCCCAGACCATAAACCCAACCAGGGCCAAATTATTCGCCAACAACAAGCCGCCAAATACTCCCGCAATCATCACCGCATACCCCTTCTCCACCACCCAATCCAACAACTTCAGCCCCATCCCAAAGCTGATGGCCTGCTTCCCCAGATTCATGGCAATCAACATTTCGCTTACATTGCTGGTATAACTATCGATCGAATACGCCAGTGTAAACGTAAAGTAGAAATACCCCGAGAACGTCGTCATGGCGGATCCAACAAAGTAAGTAAACCAGTGCAGGTTTCGCTCGGCCGCAAACCCAAAGATGACGAGCCCCGCGGGGCCGATGAGCATCACGGGGAGAATCACGCCTAGCCGCATCTCGGCTTCGCGGATGCCGCCGTTGCGGCGGGTGAGGCGGGCGGCGAGCCGGTCAGAGGAGGAGGTGAAGGGGACGGCGAGGATATAGCCGGATAGGGAACCAAGGGCGATGAGGCCGGAGGAGGTCTCGGACCAGGAGTAGGGGGGCGAGGTGATCTTGAGGGGAAAGATGAAGTTGAATGTTAGAGCGCCGAGGCCGATGTAGATGCCTGGATGGAGTTAGACTTGTGGACGGTACAGGATGGGGTGCGGGACTGACCGTAAGTGGTGACAACCCAGAAGACGTGGGGCACGAGGAAGTAGGTGAAAGAGCGGGCTATCATGAGGAAGAACTGGCTGTCTTTCTCCCAAATGCCCCAGAACTTGAGCGTTTGGATGAACGTCTTGCGCGGGGGAAGGTCCTCAGAGGTTGTCACCATGAGGTCTGATGCCAACTCCTTGTCGTTCAGAGATATCGAACTGCGAGTTACCTCCTCCGGGACCTTACGGTGGTAAGTAGTTTCCTCGACGATGAAGAATGCGAGGATGAGTAGTGCTCCGGCAAAGGCGAATTCGACGTAGAAGAAGAGGCGCCATGAGTAGTCGCCGTCGAGCATGTAGCCGGCAAACAAGGGGCCAGTTGCGCCAACACAGAGGCAGACCGTGTAGATGCCCAGCCGCTTTCCACGTTCGTGTAGGTAGAAGATGTCGTTGACCAGCTGGACGGGTAGAGCTTCGCAGACCGAGGCTCCGAAGCAGTGGATGACACGGCAGGCCATCAGAGAGGCATAGGTCTTGGACTGGGCGCAGCCGATGAGACCACCACAGTACTGTGGCTGTTGTTAGCTTCGGTTCAAAATTGTAGACGAAGACTCCTTGGTTCTTACCAGAAGCAATGAAGCGAGCATGACTGGTCTTCGGCCGATCTTGTGGTACAGTGGAACCATGAGAAGGGAACCTAGTATCTTCCTTCAGCATTACGTCTTCAAATGGGATAGAGGGTTGTTTTACCGAATCCATAGGCAAGGTTGGCATAGTTGACAAGATCGCTTGCTGCAGTGGGGGTGACGCCGAACTCTTGGATGTAGATGCCGATGTATACGGACGGTCCCTGCAAAGCCGAGTTACTCAGAAAGGAGTAGAGAGAGCAGACGACGAGGATGAGGATCTTTCGGGTTTGGCTCCACTGAAAGGAAGAAGATGGTCAGTTCCAATATCTCCATTATGGATAGCTGGACGAGAGTGTCCCTCACGTACCTGAAGGGGATCATTGGGGTCGTTGGCTGGCACTGGAAACAGCGCCTGTCCATAAGCTGTGTCATCGCCCTCTGACCTTTTGTTAGCATGAAGTGTAGCAGCATCACGAGAAGACTGTTACTAACCGGCAACCTGCAAGTTGACAGTGCCGGGAATGTCTCCCTCCTTCGCGTGGCTTCCACGTGGGTTAGCAGGGGTTCAAATCCATCATGAGATGAAGGGCCAAGATTTACCTGTGCGCAAGGTGCCTCCCCGTTGTCTTTGCTTGATCAGTTGTCATGGTGCCTTTTGCTCTCAGATATTTCCTTTGCTTCTGGCGCAAGTCGGAAGGTCAAAAGAGAAGATCTCCTAAGCCCAGCCCCAGAAGTATGGTGGCAGTATTAGTATGTGCTCCACGGATATTGATCTGGGGTCGGCCGCAGTATATCTGCCAAGAATCAAGGGTATCTGAGGGGGTGGCTACTAATGCCGGCAAAGTATCATCCACGACCAAAGAGGGTGTAAGCCATGCATTGTCTGTAGAACTCCATTGACCAAGGTTATGAAGACGGGCTGGTTGAGAACCACCCCAGGCAGGTTGTCCATGGGTCTGGGGATTGGTCTCTCCAATCATGGAAACTCAGGTTAGATGAGAAGCTGGCTGAGACGGTCACTGTCGGAGAGTTGATCATGGTTCAAACCGTCCAATGGTCCAAATGCCGGAGCCAGAAGTATTCGCGAGTGCGGGGAATGGATTGGTGAAATGGTCCAGAAGAGGGCCGCATCGCTTTCGGAGAGCTCGTGACGGACGACATGTGTCAATGGCTGGATGATCACGAATGGACGTCGAATGTTGAAGAGGGGAAGACAAAAAGAAGAAAGTTGAGAATTGGGGGACGAATTGACATTGCGCATCAACTGCACATATACCCGGTGATGTTAGGAGTTGCGCGGCAATTCAGAGTGATGCCTAACAAAAGGACCTCCTGCAAGCAACCATAGCCAAGCCACAGCAAATAGTGGCAAGTGCAGTGGCTTGACATGGCCCAATTGCCCAGCCGGCAATCTCCCAATGGTTCCAGCGACCACATCGATTCTCACTTTTGCAACTCAATAACACTGCGAACTCCCGCCGCGACCATCATGTTTCGGTTCCTCCACAGCGAATGACAGTCTTTCGATATGGTGGCTAGACTGTGATTTCATCAAATCACCGCAATCGTTCGAGTTTTCACAACTATTCCTCATTTCCCAGCGCAATGGCCTCTCTCACAGTCGTGGCGTCTGGCCCCAGCGAGTTACTAACAGATTCTGCGGTTGAGAACACCCAATTCTGTTAGTGTCTGGAGGAGGCCGGACATTATCAAAAGAACGAGGACCGCGAGAGGCATATCAGGATCCGTGGTGATTGGAGCGCTTCTCTCGAGATCGGGTGTGATTGATCGGCTACCTGACCCAGACTTTCGGCCAACTCTTCTTGCTTCTCGCGGGCACAGCCTTGAATGGATCGCCAACAACGACGTCGTGGATATATCTATCAGTATGATAATAACCGTCTCGCTTTGATCCGGATGACAGTGGCCCTTTTCGATATTGATCACTTCACCTTCGCGAGCTTGGATCTACAGGCAGTCTGACCTAGCCGCGCCAGTAAAGATGCTCCATCAACTCCACCACATCTCAACCCTATGATCCGCATAACGATGCTCATTTGAGATGACTCCATTACCCCGGATTGACAGCTTCAGTGGCAGGAACCGAGAATGCGGGGGAGATGACATCGACCAACATCCGATCGGGCTCGCCAAGATGGTATATCGGCTCAGAGTTACCGAAAATGGCATCCAAATTCGACGGAACAAATCTCACCGTCGTGACGTCTTGGACAATGGCCCGTACTTCCGAGTCTCGACACTGCATTCGCCGGATCCAAGAACAATTTTCCCCTGACAAACCTCACCCAAGATCTTGATTATCATCTCGTGTACCTGCATGTCGGGCTGCCACTCCGTCCCAAGACACCATCCATCACCAAAATCTTGTTTAAACATCTGCCGGTCCCTGGACAACACAAACCCAAGCCCTCATCTTCGATTTGCTATTCCGCCCAAACGTTGCCAAGCCCGGGAACAGACGTCAACGGTGGTGTTGAGGTGGTATTCGCCTGCTGTCAACCCGTCCTGTCAGAACATTCCGGTAGAGTTCATACGATACAATGACCGTGATAAATACCATCGTCTGTCCACCACGACGAAAATGGACTTCACACCTCGACTGCATCCATCGCGTGGGTGTCGTCCCACTCTCCTTCCATAACCCCCTGACAGACGTCCAAGATGGTTCAAAAGCTCGCTTTCCTCACCGGCCTTGCCGCCTCCCTCGCCTCTGCCCAGCAGATTGGCACCGTCACCCCCGAGTCCCACCCCAAGCTGCCCACCAAGCGCTGCACTCTCGCCGGCGGCTGCCAGACGGTCCAGACCTCCATCGTCATCGACGCCTTCCAGCGTCCTCTGCACAAGATCGGCGACCCATCCACCCCCTGCCTTGTCGGCGATCCTCTTCTCTGCCCCGACGCCGAGACGTGCGCAGCCAACTGCGCGCTCGAGGGCGTCTCCGACTACGCCTCCTTGGGCATCAAGACCGAGGGTGACGCCCTGACTCTGAACCAGTGGATGCCCGACCCGGCAAACCCAGGACAATACAAGACGACCACGCCCCGTACTTACCTCGTGGCTGAAGATGGCAAGAACTACGAGGATGTCAAGCTCCTGGCCAAGGAGATCTCTTTCGATGCTGATGTCAGCCATCTCCCCTGCGGCATGAACGGCGCGTTTTATCTTAGTGAGATGTTGATGGATGGTGGACGTAGTGTCAGTGGTGATCTCAACCCTGCTGGTGCTGAGTATGGTACGGGGTATTGCGATGCGCAGTGCTTTAAGCTGGATTTTATCAATGGCGAGGTAAGCCCCCCACCCCCTTCCCTTTTCCCCTTTTCCCCTTTTCCCCTTTTCCCCTTTTGCCTCTTCCTCCTCTCTGTCAGTATCACCCCCGGCCCAACTAACACACACCCAAACAAAGGCCAACATCAACCAAACCCACGGCGCCTGCTGCAACGAAATGGACATATTCGAATCCAACTCTTTCGCCAAGACCTTCGTCCCGCACCCCTGCAACATCACTTCCGTGTACAAGTGCACCGGCGACTCCGAGTGCGGCCAGCCCTCTGGCGTCTGCGACCAGTGGGGCTGCGCCTTCAACGAGTACAAGTGGGGAGTCGAGTCCTTCTACGGCCCGTCTTCTTCTTCTTCCGTCATCAATTCCAGCAAGAAATTCACCGTCACCACGCAGTTCCTCACCGACACTGGCCGTGAGGACGGTATACTAGTAGAAATTAGACGGTTGTGGCACCAGGGGGGCAAACTAATCAAAAACACGGCTATCGCTGTTGAGGAGGGGTTTTCGACGGATTCGGTTTCTACAAAATTCTGCGAGAAGACGGCTTCTTGGAGTGTGCAGCGCGGTGGACTGAAGGCCATGGGCGAGGCGATTGGTCGCGGTATGGTGCTGGTGTTTAGTATTTGGGCGGATGATTGGGGTTTTATGAATTGGTTGGATGCTGAGGGGAATGGACCTTGTAGTGCGACGGAGGGCGATCCGAAGCTGATTTTGCGGAATAAGCCGGATGCGAGGGTTACTTTCTCTGATATTAGGTGGGGAGAGGTTGGGAGCACGTTTAATGCTCCTGGGGGGAAGTATGGTGGTATGGGGAGTCGGGTGGCGAGGGGGTTGAGTGCTTAGACTAGACTGAAAGCCTTGCAAGGAGAGGAAGGAGGCTTGGTCAGTGGGTGATGTTACCTATTTTCGTGTGAGAAGGATGTAAGATGTTGTCTTGGATATAAAGGCCTTCAATCTACCGTTCTTGGATACAACATATCGTATCTGCCGTGCGCTTTCACTTTTCTGCGAACCTTTCTTTAAGGTAGTTTCGGTAGCTCGGTCGCTTGAGACCGGGAGACGGGTAGTCCGAGGGAGACAAGGACGGAACCGATGGACCGGACTCCGTGCCAAGACGGGTCCGGTGGCTTGTGTCGGCGGGAGGCCGGGAGCGGGAAGGGGCGACGGACTCCCGTAGTGGATCCGGAGTGGACCGGGAGTGGATCGGGGAGGCGGCGAGGGTAGAGGAGGCCACTGCAGGGACCCGTTCTTGACTTGGAGCTCAGTCGCAGAAGAAAGGATTCAGATTTCAGTTAGCTACCTATGAAATGATCATAAAATTCGTGTAAGATGTAGCGTCGACATTGCAACGGGGCCGTTCATCTCACGATAGTATAGACGCTGACAATCAAGCTTGGAAACAGGAACAAGCCCACTTTAGCTGCCTCCTGCCCGCCTATACTTGAATCCCAGCGTCTATACTATCGTGTGGTGAACGGTTCGTTACGTGTTGGGCTCTGACTAGAGAGAAAGACCTATGAAACCGAAGACAAGAAACATGGAGATACGTACAGGTAGTAGGAAAGCGCGAGCTGAAACAAGAAGCTTGACCTGAAAAGAAAACAAACGTTGACACCATAGAACTAACCGAAATGTCCAACCAAGAAACAGAAATACCGTGGACCGAGACCAGAACCGCTGGAACTTTAACCCAGAACATCCACACACACATGAACCCGCAAAGCAACACAAGAAACCCCGTTTTGAAGGCCGGCAGACTGCATATTCCAGCAAAGTCAGCTAGTCTTCTCTTTCACCCATTCCTCTTCCATCTTCTCCCACTCCGACTCAACCAACATCCTCCCTCGGCCTTTCCCTTCCCCCTTTCCCCCTTTTCCCCTTACCCCCCCTCCTAGCCTCCAACCTTGCGCTTGCCTTCTTATACCCTTCCCTTTTTAATCTTTGCGAGGTTGTTCTCACAAGCCGACGTCTTTTTCCCCTTCTGAACGCTCTGATGCCTTGCCAAAAAGTCGGGCCTCCCCGCCCTGAGCGACGTCCCGCATGCGGGGCACACGATCGGTTCCAGCGACAGTCCGATGCTTTTCGCGTACTCGGGGTGGGTGGTGATGTAGTGCTTTTTCAGCTCTTTGGAGTGACCTTTGTACCGACACTTGCGAGCGGGATTGTCGAAAGGGGCTTGGCAGGGCTTTTTGGCGGGATATCTTCTGCTGGAAGAGGAGGAGGAGGAAGATGCGGATGGCGAAGGTGTAGGGGCAGAGGAAGATGCTGATGGTGAAGGGCTGTAGTTGGTGGGTGTGGTTGGATTTGGTGAGGGTGTGAAGTCGATGGGTGATGAGACTGGCGAAGGATGTAAGAGAAGTGAAGTGGGCGATGATGGGAATTGAGTTGGTGGGTATTGGGCAAGTGATGGGTAGGTACCGTTCATAGGTGCCGCGGGGACCATCATTGTCTCTGGTGGTATGGCTGTGTTTAGTGTGGTGTTGGCAAGTTGCGGGTCATAAAAGCCCTGAATGGGCGGTTCCTCTTGAACGAACAGCGGGTATTGAAGGAGTGACTGCTGCTGAACGAATAGCTGTTGATGAACGAATGTCGGGTTCGGTGCACTCTGTCCTTCATGTCCAGGTACGAAAATTTCTTCTTCACCATACACATATCCATCCCCCTCCAACTGATCATAATGTGGTTGCAATGAGTATCCCTCACGGTGTGGTGTAGCCAACCCATTGGTATGGGGATAAGGCCAGCCCAGCTGGTGTGAGTTCTGTTCAGAATCGCTCGTCCTCTAAGTCTCGGAGCTAGGATTGGCATTGCTTTGCATCATGAAAGCTGGGGGGTTTGGGATAGAGTGAATGGTGTTGAAGTCATACCCCTGGTCCATACCGAGTTGCGCCTGGTTGTAGACGTTGGAATAGTTGGCATGGAGAGCAGCGAGCTCATTGGCTGGCATAGTCATATTCCAAGGTCCAGGCGTCTCCGTGAAGACCCCATGCTGCGCAGCTGCAATGTCGTGCATCGTGTCACCAGTGGTAGCGCTGAGGGCTGTGGGGGCGTGTGCCACAGGGAATTCGGGTTGCTCCATCTCCAGAGAGGCGAACCCGACGTCATTAGAGGGACTATCGGCAGAGCTTCCGGCGTACGACGAGAAGTTGACGAGGGATGGAGAACGGGCCGAGCCGCCATCTTCGATGCGAATCCAGTCATTCAGGTCCACGAGGTCCGGCGTGGATACCGCTGCAACTTGTGTCAGATCTTCCACTTGTCTTGCATGACACCGTTGTGGGTAGGGTGAGGGGGAGAAGTACCTCCATCCAAGGTCAACAGCGTCAGCCGGGGGTCGATACATTCATCCATTCCGTCACCGTCTCCAGATGGAACGCTGCCGCTCATAGCGTCAGACGGAGTCCGCAATGCGCGGACGGACACTGCGGTGTGAGTGTCGTTGTATTCAACGTGTGGTGTGATGATGTAGCTTGTCGTATCGTTCGGTGGTGCTGCCCAGCACAAAGAGAGGTGATGTGAGCATGGGTCAGGAAAAGAGAAGAAGGGGAGGGGGAGAACAAACGAGGCCTACTAAGGCGAGAGGCCCTCTTAAAAGGACGCTTGTGTTCCACTTTGACAAGGAAGTCGCAACGAGAAAAAGTGACGGAAACAGAAAGACGTCAACAGAGCTGAGTGGGTTCAGTTGTTTGGTTGGGGCTGTAGGCCTCTCTCGTATGCCTCCGTCTGCCTCCATCTATCAATAGCAGTGACCCGTCGAATTTGACCACTTGGAGCCGCTCCAGACGTCTCGAATTTCCAGTAACAAACGGACGATATCTCCTCGAGAATTAGAAGAAACATCGCAGGAAAATGCCTTGTCCAAAGAGTGGACAACACGCCATCCTCATTCGGTAACCGGCCTGATCGTGATTCGTTGACTTCGTGGGCCTCACGCAGAACGGTGGGGCAAGGGTGTCGGTTAACTCGAATGCAACATTGGGCGATACCGTCCGTGCAGAAGCAACAACCTCAACCTCTTCTAACATCTCTTCTACCGTTCTCTTCAACTTCTTTTCAACTGCAAATTGCCGTATCTTTTCCAGGGAAAGCAAAAAGGTGGAACCCAAGGCGAATAGAAGGCTAATTTTGCGTGTTGGACGGTATAGTAATTTCACCATTGTTGCACTGTTGCTTTTCTACGCACTTGATATCGCTCGCGATAGCCGTCGACTTGACGTGGTTGCAACTAGTATAACCGCAGCCCATCTGGGGCCCGCATCTGCGCTGCTTTGTGTCGTGCTTGTTTTGGATATCCCTGTCTCCTTAGGGTTCCGTTCTAAATGATATGATTGGTGCAGACACTAACAACCTGGAGAGCGGGGGCTGGTGGAGGGGCATCGTTGGTGGGGAAGGACGGACGGGAGGACATTCACTTTCATCCAATGTTCAATTGTTTGATCTCAACCACATCTGGACGCCTTCTTGACGCCTTATCTTGACGACATGTGTTGATGTCCAAACACCAAACACGGCAAAAGGAAGGTCGGGAAGAAAAAAGAGAAGATGTCTCAGATGATCGTCGTCCGTTATTGCGCTGACTCTGTCAAAGATCACCCACCAGATCATCTCTGCACAGGCAAACGAAAGCCCTGATTCCGTCAAGGGAGTCGAAGGACATCCACATTGCCCGCGCAATCACTGCAACTTTTCTCTCCATCTCCGAATTTGGCGCGCATCTTGTCCACTCCAGCAAACAGGACATTGAAGATCCCGTCCTCGAGCCCGAAGGACAACCGCATTCCCACGCCAGCACTGAAACCGCCTCCCGCTCCCGTTCTGACAACCATGGAAACCATGGAATCCTCAGACATCCAATATGGCACCCCAATCGAGCTGGCACCCAAAATCATCCACCGCTTCTACGAGCCTATCATGCTCCTCGAAGCCCTCAAGGAACCCGTCGGCAAACCATCATCTGCTCCCCCCCAGCCCATGCGCGTTGACGACGAGAATCCCAAACAGCTCTTCCAAGCCTTCGTCTACAAGCTTGCCCATGTCTGCGATTGGGAAAAGGGAGGAAAGACGGTAACTTCTATCATGGTCCTCGACACTACCAATGTGTTGACGGATGAGCCGGAGTTCACCTATGTGTTTGGTGTCAACCAAGCTACGCCTCACCATCTGAAGCGCACGGCTTCATTTCTGCATACAGTTCTGCAAAAGGTTGCTAGTGCTTCGCCGGTTAGTGAGGCCGAGGCGAGAAATGCGGCGGAGAGGGAGCTGAGGCAGATAGTTCTGAGGTTCAATCGGCCGAGAGTGAGGTTCTACCTCAAGTCATTGAGGGACAAAGCAGAGGTGTGTCTGAGGCAATGTCTGGCCGAAGACAAGAAGGAGGATCGTGAGATTGCAAAAGGGCTGCAGGACTTGCTCGAGTCGGAGGACTATACGGACACGGACATGACGCCGGAGGCGGAGTGTAAGTCACCAAATACAGCCGTCGAGAGTGACGGTGAGCTATGACACCCAGTACGAGCCACAAGCTAACGACCCCAGACGATCAAAAATGCAAAAACATTTCCCACCAACTCACCACCATCTTCTCCTCCAAACGCCTCAAAGACATACTTGCTGCCCGCGCAGCCGCCGGCCGCACCGCCATGACCGGCCACACCAGCATGGCCTGTTGGTCCGATCTCGTGCACACCGCCCAGCGTATTCTTGCCTACCGCGGCTCGGTGTACTACTTCTTCCGAGCCCGGGACGGATGGCCACAGCTCTTCCAGAACAACCCCCGTATTGTCGCCCTTCCCTCCGGCGACCTCCAAGACACGCCCCGACGAAACAAGTCTATGAAAGCCGAGGGCATCGTAGGCCGCATGACCTCCAACGAGAAACTGATGGCCATCTTCAAGCGCTTCGTCCAAGACTTGCAGATCCTCGATCTGGACACAAGACTAGTAGATGCCTACGAGAAAAACACACCATTAGCCGTGCACTCCGAAGTGCTGCTACACCATTGGCTGCTCACCGATCGCGGGAAAGGCGAAATTAGTCCGACCATGTTTTTCAACTCATGGCCTTACATCGGCTCGAGCAAGCCCACTTGCAAATTATGCAAGTACTACTTTGAAGAGTCGCGCTCAGGCGTCGAGGTTCGACCTTCGCACGGGAACTTGTATCCCAAGTGGCGATTACCAGACGTTTACGACTTTCACGGCCCAGATGCCGTAAAAAGGAGGCAGATCATGCTGGACCGCATCCTGCAGCGCGTCAGGACCGAAGTCTTCAACGCCATCAAGATGAAGAGCCCTTTGAGCTACAAACCAGAGGACTCAAACACCTGGTCAGCCACGATGCACCTGGATGACCGATGGACGCAGAACCAGACGGACGCCGGGACAGATGCCGGGACGAGGGCAGGGACGGTGGCGGATTGGGCCGAGAATGCGTCTGTGATCGTGCATCGCGCTGATGCAGAGCCGGCGCCGGGGATTATCAATGATGTGGACAGTGTTAAATCGGACGTCCTGGAGGTCAGTGTGGAGGACCTCCGGGGCTGTCCTCCACAGGAGGAGGTCGACGAGGCTGATGTGCGGACTCATACGGGAATGGAGCAGGAGGAGGTCGACGAGGCTGATGTGCGGACTCATACGGGAATGGAGCAGGATGAGGAGGAGGAGGATGATGACGATGGGGGAGGAGCGGTTCTTTAGTCCTTGAAAGGGTGGCCTTTCTTGGTCGGAAGTTCGTGTATCGGATGCATTCTTGCCCTCTCAGGGCCACATCAGCTATCCAACCATCCAAATGCCCCTCCCAAGCCTTTTTGCAGGATGATCGTCTTCGGATGGATGGTTTTTGCAGAACGTCCGGGTTTATCCACGTATCGCACTTCATATCCGGGTTTAACGTCGAAATATCGTACCGTTGCCACACTCTACCACACAATTATCCCGTCCGCTTATTGCAGCTGCAGCATCACGACTGTACCACCAATGTTACCTGGTCCCGACATCCCCGCACATCAGAGGTACCCAGCATGCCGTATAACTTGTGCCTTGACTCCTACAAATAGAGGTACCTGACATCAACATCACGATCCAACATCACGCTTTACAGGCACCCACACGTCCAGTCCAGCCTTTCACAGCATATGATGCGATCCATTACTCCCATCCTCCTCGCCGCCACGACATTAGCCGCCCCTTCCCAACTCCTCAGTCCCCAACCCAAATATTCAACCTGGATGGCCAACAGCATCATCACCCGTAACCTCTCCTCCCCCGCCACGCGCTACTACGACCAAGCAACCTTTTACCGCTCTCTCGAAGCCATTGTCGTGGCCCACCAGAACTCATCCAATTCCTCCTCCTTCTCCCCGTACCTCTCCCACATAACCACTCAAATCGACTCCCTCCTCCATCCCAACGGCACCTTCATCTCCTGGGACTACAACGACCACCAACTAGATAACATCCGCGTTGCCTCGTCTATTCTCTTCCTCTACACCTCCATCCCTCCCTCCAACACCCCCCAAAGGACCAAGTACAAAGCCGCTCTAGACTTCTTGTACGACCAATTGGTAAACAAACAGAAACGAAACCCAGAAGGCGGCTTCTGGCACAAAGACCCCAAGTACCCGAACCAGATGTGGTTAGACGGTCTTTACATGGCCCAACCCTTTTACGCCGCTTACACTTCTCTCTTCCTTTCTTCCATGTCCCCTAACTCCGTCAACGTCAACACCACTGCAGCAGTAGCAGACAAAAACTGGGACGACATCCTTCTTCAGTTTTCACTAATCGAAGCCCACTGCCGCAACGCCACCTCCGGCTTACTCAAACACGGCTACGACGCCTCCAAAACCGCAATCTGGGCCGACCCCATCACCGGCGCCTCACCCCTAACCTGGATCCGAGCGCAGGGGTGGTACCTAATGGCTCTCATCGACGTCTTGGACTATTTCCCCCTTTCACACCCCGCCTACTCGCAACTCATAAAATGGGCTCGCCAGCTGGCCAGGGCGCTAAAGGAGACGCAAGACCCAGAGACGGGGGGGTGGTGGTTAGTTATGGATGGGGAGTATGGAGGCCCGAAGGGAAGGGAAAGGGGGAATTATGTGGAGAGTAGTGGGAGTGTGATGTATGTTTATGGATTGCTTAAGGGGGTTAGGAAGTGGTATTTGCTTGATGATGGTGGGGAACTGGTAAAAGTGGCGAGGAGGGGGTATGAAGGGTTGGTGGAACGGTTCGTGAGGGTTGTGAAGGGGAAGGATGGGGAGGATGGGGAGGATGGTCGGGAGGTGCTGTTGAATTGGGAAGGGACGGTTAGGGTGGGGAGTCTGGATGGGAGGGGGGATTTTGAGGTGAGTTCCATCTTTCTTTCTCTGCGATGAAGTTTTCCATGACAGACAGGCCTAGGGATCGTTTGATGCGTATGTGGATGAAATGTGCTGACAAAGACGACGGACAGTATTACACCGGGATCAACAGGGTTGAGAACTCGTTGATTGGGGTTGGACCATTTATCTTGGCCAGCGTTGAGTATGAGATGTTGACGGCCGCCATCGAGACATGATGATCCATGGAGCCATGTAACCATCATGACTTCTGTTGTAAGACGACGATAAATTGTAGCATGCTGGCCAGGATGTTACTGTGTTGTATGCCACCTTTCTCATTGCTTCTACGGATCCTCTTTCGAGCGAAGGGGGCGTTCCGTCCGCGAGAGGGGGCGCCGGAGGTAATGTCAAGCTGAACAGAAAGCATTGGTTTGCCAAAAGTACCTTAGCAAGCTACGGTCCGGACCGACCGATCCCGCTTCTTTGACGGGTCGCTCCCCTTTGACACATTCAGCTCCCGTTTTGTACTTTCACCGCCGGCATGGCCGACTACCGCATCACCGCATCACCGCATCGCTGCATCGCCGCACCGCATCAGATTCACAGATCTCGATTCACAAACCGCCAGCCAGACCGGTAGCACCGCACTTTCCAACCGAAACAGTTCGCTTCCGCTTCGCTCGCCGTTCGCTTGCCGGAGTCCGGGCAATTTGTTAGTCTTGTCAAGCTTGTCAGGCTTGTCAGGCTTGACAGCGGACGCCATGAGCGGCATGACTCGAGCATGACCGCCAAATTCGCTGGAAACTCGAGAGAAATGCCAATTCGCTTCGTCTAGTCCGTCCGTCCCAGTCCGTCCCAGTCCGTTCCTTTGGGCTCTTTGGGCTCTTTGGGCTCTTTGGGCTACGTAGTAAAGTGTGGTATGTAACCCTGACCCTGTTGCTAGTTCGTTGAACCACGATTGTCCTTGTTCTTTGGGCTTGGCTTGCCTTTGGCTCTTGTGGGCTGGCTGCCCTACCTTACCTATTGTCCCTTTTAGCAAGAAGAAATGGTATTTGAAGGCTTTTTGGATTCCCCATCAACGGTGGTCGGACGGACTTCGGGGATATGCAAGTGTTTTCAATCTTCGGGTTTTAGTGCCCGTTTTGTGTCCTTTCCAATCTTTGGGATATGCACCCCTTCGGAGTTTACAGCTTCATCTTCAGCCCCGGTCCTTGACCTTCGGATGGTTTGGGCTGGCAAGAAGTCGTCGGAAATGCCGCCACTTGGAATCCCTTCCGCGAGCAAGGGAACGCCGTCGACGTTGGGTTGAGTGTAACTTGGAATGCGTTGCCGACTGGTTGTGACTGGTAGCCGACTGGTCAAGCGCAATCCGGTGCAACTTCAACGTCAAAGCACAGGTTGGGATACCTGGCCTTATAGTAGCATTGCAATTGCGGCTCTTATCCAGTGTTCCAGGTAATCTTCAGGCGACGTGACGTCCAGGGCACCGGCAACCAGCATGGAATTTAGCCGGATCGCGATCCCATTACAGTAAAGATCCCTGAAAGTGCAACCACCCCCAAGTGCAAAAACCCCCCAAAGTGCAAAAGAATCTGTGTGCCGGAATTGTTTTCCCATACAAAACCTGCAAACTGCAAAGTGCAAAGACTTTGGCCCGGATTTGCACCTATAGGGGTCCGGTTTTGGTGGGAGAGAACACTTATACCCGGCTACCGGGGCTCAGACGATGCACTTTTGGTCGCCTTCCAATGGCCGGAGGGCACTTCTTGGTCTGTGCACCAGCTCCCCCAAGTGCAAATACCCAGAAAGTACAAAGGATTTCGTCAGCCGGATTAGTTGCACTTTCAGGGATCGTTACTGTAGTGGCTTTTCTTCGACAGCCACCGGTGATGCGGTTACTGGTCCGGACGACTCGCATGCTCCAATCTTCCAGTCGGATGTTGAGATCTATTCAGTGCCATTGACCCGTTCAGGGGCTGCTCGAAAGTCTGGAGTGTCTGGGAGTCTGGGAGTCTGAAACAGGAGAGAAGTCCGACGGAGTTCGGATGGGTTAAATGGGTTGTTGGATTGGTAGGATGAGGGAGGGGTAACTATCAAACCTTGGTGAACTTGAACACGCCGAAAAGGAAAAGTGTCAGAACTGGATATGAACCTCCTGTCTTTCCTGAATGCGGTTGCCGGGTACATAGGTAACTGGAAAAGCGCATTTGAGGGATCAACGATCCCATCGTCGGCAACGTAGGCGAATAGTGGACTTGACGTCATTTGTCATCGCTTCAACAAGATGAAATTACATGGCAAGATCGGTGAAAGGGAACTAGACGATAGTACCGACAATAACCGGCCACGCTGACGCAAGTTACGAAACCCGGAATCGCTCCCACGGGCCCGAATGACTGACGGCAGCGGGAAAAAAAACTGCCACATGCGCGCCTGGATGGCAAATCACGATCGCGACACGATCGCGACACGAAATACAGATGTATGAACGGATGGAGTCCGTGGTGGATTCCGTCTCACTTTCTACCAAGACCAAAATCAAGCATTTCCGTTCGATAGTTTACGACGGTTCCACTGTTCGTCGGGAGGAGTGGATTTCGAGAATCCGTACCTGCATCCGCTCCGCCGCCAATTCAGTTCCGCATCTGCGTGCGACTGCGGCGGCGTCCGCCGTCCGCTATTTATTACATTGACATCCCACTTCTGCCGTTTTTCGGGTTTCTTTCGGTTGGGTGCCTGAGAGGTGAGACGCAGCACCACGACGCTAGAAATACCATTTCAGAACTTTCTTTTTGGTTGTGGTCTCCTCAGCCAGTGAAATCGCCAAAGAGCACTGGGACGGCAGTAAAGCGGCAGTTGTGGCTGTGGGAGTGAGCGCCACACCCGCCTGAGCCGCCCCATTAACACCAACGACAGTCTAGTCCGACACCAATCGTTGCTGCTTGGCTGACTGGGCCGCCGACTGACCGGTGGCGGCGATCATGGAGTATTATCTTTCTTCCATTTCCATCTTTCCGGTAGTGTAATTCCACTTGGTTCCCGAACGTAGCTGCCGTCTCTCGATCATCCATTTAACCCCGGGCCCTTCCCGTTTCCGTCCTGAATTCGAAGCGATGCGACGATACCTATGTCATGGTGTCTAACTCGAAGGCATCCACTTTCCATGTGGTCCATGCTGGGCGATTTTGTCCCTGGAGTTCGGCTCAGGGGATTGAAATCTGGAGGATGAATTTTCCTGATCATAACGACTGGGGACTTGCAGGGACCAATCCAACCACTGAGCGCGAGTGCGTGCCTGGCACTACCGAGCAAAACTAGCATTCAAGCGGCGGAAGATCGACGAACAGGAAGCTTGTCGCGCCTGGACTTTTATCAGGTCGCGTGGGGTTTTTTTGCCGATTCTTCGCTTGGTGTAAGGTACCTGACGAGACTCACGGAATCGAACAACGGCAATTTCTTGGCCACGTGTAGTTGTTCAAAAACTCCGGAACTCCGGTAAAATCAGTAAAGATCATGAAAGTCTGGTTGTTGATGGATAACTGCAACTCGTTTTCCTTTTTTCTGAGCCGCAAACGTTTCGGTTCGGTATTTGCATCACGGATCACGGTGACGAGGACAGGAGGACTCGGTACCATGTTTTCAGCCGTGAACCGAGCAACAACCGAGAATATGTACCCACGCAGTGACCTTTCCTGCCCTGCCCTGCCACTGAACGGATATGGTGGTCGGACATTTGAAATTAGTTTGCGCCTGGACATTCTGAGCAAAGTTTATGCCCATGTTACCCCAGTATCAAGTTATCGATAGTCGTCGTAGGCTCGGGCTCGTCGTCGCTTGTTGTTGTCGGCACGTCCTAGGGCTTTCCGACACAGTGAAAGCCGCGAAAGAGGTGGAAAAGATGGATTCGGCAACGGAATGAGAGAACGGGTTTCATGTTGATGAACAGCTCTAACAGCGGACTAGTAGCAGCTAGAGAGGCTGAAGACGGGCTAGGTACTAAACTTTTAGGACAGAACATGGAGAGAGAAAAGAATCAGAAGCCATCTCCGAAACTCTTTTCACTGTGTCCATTGGTCGTCGGCCCGCAAGGTTTCCGTTCCTGTTATGGCAGCCGTTCAACCACTGAGGAGACTCGCTATCCGTAGGCGAGTGCGACGTGCATGACTCGGGTAAATGGCGAAATGGAATGTCTGAAACGGGGAGAGATGAGCGGGAGCACCTGCCCAGAGCAGCGATGGCGACGCTGACAGTTTGTATAAGCAGTGGGCAGGCGGATGTGAGAGCAGAGAGCTGGCTGAGGGCAGCGAGGGAAGATATTCCCATCTGAAGAATACTTTCATGCAAACTGGAATTCCCGTCGGCCAAAAGTTGCCAAGGTAAAACCTCGGTTATGGCCGGCTTAGGTTGTGTTTCTTTTTTAAGCTTGGTGGACTGTGGAGGTTAGTGATGGGAACTCCACCTCCGCTGTTTTGGTGTCATTTAGTCTGGCAGGTGCCTGGCGGTGCCTGCCTGCCATGAGGGAAGCTAGGAAGAAGATCGCGATCGATAAAGGTGCTAACAAAAACAGCTTGACCACTCGGTCTGCAAGTGTTAGTGCGATAGATACACGGCCCATGTTTGACCATCAGCAAATACCGCAAGTACTTGAGAGAAGCTGCATATGCAAGGCGGCTTTAGTGCATATGAGGAATATCTCCAATGGGAAGCCCTCATTTTCCTAGCTAGCGCTCCCGGTAAATCTCTTACGAACGAGTGTTAGCGGTAGTCCCAGACGCTGCCAGTCTTGCCAGATGAACCGTTCCTACGTACAAGGTACAATTTAACCGGGCGTAAAGGTTTCATTCGGGCAACTGCCATATTGATCATTTGCCGATGAAGCCTATGAAGGGTATCTGAAGTGCACGCGGAAGCACGAGGGTTCGCCCCGGTTACCTTCTAAATAATAACGTTGCTTTTGGGACAGTTTTGAACGGCGAGTCGGCGACCAAACGATACCCAAGACAGGCCAGAACTTTCCCGAGGACCTGGTTGCATACGAAAATCTTGCCTCTTCTGTGCATGGAAATGAACATCACACGAGGGACGAAGCCATCCCGTCGAGGGTGTGTTGCGTGGGAGGTGTGGGAGAGTGGGTGGCTGCAACGGATGGCAACGGTCGGACGGAGTTGACCGGGGGTCGACTCGAGGGGGCCAAAAGCAAAGAAGGGGTGCCCTCGGTAGTCACCTGCATAACGCCGACATTATCAAGATACCACATACTTAACACGGAGACAGTCCTAACTGTCTGATGATATGAAATTGCTACAAGATAGCTCGAGATCATCTGCAATTACGACTACCAATGCAGGTAGGTGTAATTGCTCTGTGCCGTGGTATAGCGTCGCAGTGTCGTACTCGTATCGATAGGGCTTGGTATGATACAGGTAATCAGGGCTTAGTTTATTAGGGCTCAGGGCCCACAACCCCCAAGCCACGAGTTGGGATGCCATGCCGTGGTTGGTGGAGGACTCAAGGGACTAAAGTTGACTCCATCGTGGAGAGAAACGTGGCTCACCCTAGTTGCGGATGCTTGGCGTCGAATGGTTTAGCGTCCTTGTTGGGAAGAGAGCGTGTAAAAGTCCTCGGTTGTGATTTGGTGTTGATGACCGGGAACGGTGATGATCATTGGCACAGACCAAGACGGGAATTGATGCAAAATGACCGAGAAACCAAACTGCCGGTACGAACTCCAAGACTCCCAAGAAAAAGGGGTCTGAGACCTCTTGTGAGACCTCTCAGTGTTGCATCCGACGCTTTGGTTGAAACCATGGACTTGCCGTTCGCTTGTGTTGCCCTATGTGTGCACACGCATCGGCACATACACAGTTCAGGCAAACCAATGATTTCTCAATTGTACCTTACATTACTGTTCTGTTCCTGCTTCTGATTTCCCCTCTTTTTTGTTGTCGTTGTTGTTACGAAAAACAAATAATCTCCACCGAGGCTCGTCCCGAAGTTCGATGACATCTGATCATCATCTTCAAGAAAAGACCGCAGAACTGTCGTCAATCTCAGTTCGCCAATCGTTTGACTAGTCGCATGTGGGGCAAGGTGGGCCGCATCAAAGAGAGGAAAAGCGCACGGCCGGGGCTGACGGGACCAGTCTGGCAGCCCCTGTCGGTCCTTGGCAGTCCTGTTAACTGTCTGTTGGCAGCTGGATCGCTTCACAGCTGCCCTGCCCTGATGGGATCAAACTCGGAGATGCTGAATTTCTGTCTCATCCCACAATTCGTTTCGACATCCATCCCCATCCATCCTGAGCCATCCCACATCGATCAAAGTCCACCTTATTAACGCATCCACAACCATGCGGGTCACGATGCGAGTCAGCATCTGCCATCTTCCCTTCTCTCAGACAAAAATGTTTGGTCGCCTTTTTTGTGGTGGATCAAGTTAAGCGGATGATCCCCCTGGCGATTACAGACATCATCGAAACTCGAGATGAACTGTTTTCCTGTCAACAGTCAACAGTCGACAGTCGACCAGACCCTTTGCGCTTTGACTCCCGGTAACCGAGCAAGAGAGGTCGCCGAACCCTTTCTTCTTTCGAGATCCCAGCCTTCTTTGAGTGAGTCCTGCCCTATCCGCCAGGTCCTGCATTGAGCCTCAAGGGGGACTGTTTCTGATTCAAGGCCGTAGGTGTCTTTCGTTGCTACGGCACGGTGGCCAAAAGGGTTCTAGTCACTGAAAAACAGGGCCTCAATGGGCCTACGCTGATCCGCATAACACTTGCAATGCACGAAGGAAACGGACTCCACCAATGTCCCACATTCAACACCACCTTCCACCATGGCCCATCTCCATGATACCGCAGACATGGCTCCCCATACACTCGCGATGCCCTTCCGTTCTGAGACTCCTCGACAAGGTCAAAGACAAGGCCTTCAAACCCCCTGGGACACTGGGCCTCGAATCGGTAAACTCCCCTCTCTGGGGCAGGGTCGACAGCATCTTTAATCCTGTGGTCCCGCTGTCCCTTCGAGGTTCCACAGTCTCTCTTTCTTACTCGGCTCCTCTCTCTCTTTTTCCACGTTATCTGATCCATACGCCAAACGCCGTCCATACTCGGCTCGAACATCAAGAATCCGGCCCGTGTCCGGGTTTCCGAATACCCTCACCCCGACGTCGTCGACGACTGTGTGACCGAAACAACAAAACATCAAAGGGTTAGAGCATGCCTCAGTAACCTAACCATGGGATCCCTCCGAACCACAGTTGCCATTCTTGGCCTGTGCCTATTCTTGTTCTTCACCAATGTCGCCACTGCCGAAAAAATCATCGAGACGCCACCAATCAGTATCATGGAGGCCTTGGAGGGCTTGCCAGAATGCGCTGTAAGAACACCGACGCCAACGCCATGAGCACCAAGCACCAGCATACCTAGTCACCGACTGCGACTCTATACCGTCGAAACCAAAATTCACCGAGTCTACGTCGACATGCATACCGAGAATAACAAGCTGAACAGTGTCTTTTCCATATAGCTCACATGCCTCGTCGACACCGTCAACTCCGTGGGAACATGCGGCACTCTTACTCACCCCGTTCCCAACCTGGCCGACTGTGTGTGCCACAGCCAGCAAATCAACGACGTTTCGGCCGCGTGTATCCATGGGGCTTGCACTGTGAAGGAATCTCTTAGTGAGCACCTCCTATGATTCCCTTCTTAAAGTGAAGCTAACCCTCCCCGAAGCCGCCAAGAACATCACCTCATACCTCTGCCACGAGCCCATCAGGAAGAACAACACCATCATTCCCGTCCTTGCTGTGTTCCTCGGCCTTGCCCTGTTCGCAGTCGTTCTGCGCGTGCTGGCCCGTGTGTTGACCAGGGCTTATTTTTGGTGGGATGATTTGTGCAACCTGTTCGCCTTCATCGGTTGCATTTGTTTCAGCACTCTCAATTTCGAATCGGTCAACCATGGCTACGGTATTGATATTTGGTTTGTCAAGTTTGACGATATCACCACGATTTTGAGGGTAGGTCTAATCTTTTGGCTCTTTGTACTGCTTCGGACCACTAACAGGGTCACAGTTATTCTACGCCAACATGTTGCTGTACACCGTTTCCCGCTTCTTTGTCCGGGCGTCCATTATTCTCTTCTACCTCCGCGTATTCCCCAAGGACAACAAGCTCAGCCGCATTCTTACCTGGACCATGGTCTTCAACGTCGTCTACAACTTCAGCTTCTTGTGCGCCGTCATCTTTCAATGCCACCCCATCAAGGAGTTTTGGTTGCAATGGTCGGGAGAGACTAAAGGCCACTGTAATAACGTCCCGGCAATTGTCTGGTCAGCTGCCGCTACTGGTATCATCTTTGACGTTTGGTTGCTTGTCTTGCCGTTCCCTCAGCTCTTTGCTCTCAACCTCCACTGGAAGAAGAAGATCATGGGCTCTTTGATGTTCAGCGTTGGTGCTTCGTAAGTTACAGAACCGTCTGTCATGTTTTTTGCAGGTTACTAACTTTGTGGTAGTGTCATGATCATCAGCTTGATCAGACTCAAGACCATTCCCACATTCACGAGGGCCGAGAACCCAACCAGTACGTTCCACAACTACACCCACATTAAGCAGGCACGGATGAACCACTAACACATCATATAACAGAGGACATTGCCGATCTTTGCATCTGGTCTGGCGTCGAAATCGACGTCGGCGTCATCTGCCCCTGTCTTCCCAGCATGCGACTGCTGTTCCGCAAGCTGCTCCCCAGCCTCCTCGGGTCAACAAACAAGTACGAGCTCGAGCCCGTGTCGGCCAGCGCCAGCACCGCCATCAACAGGAGTCTTGCCCGCAAGAGCAAGCCCATGTTCAACGAGCCCACAACGACGGACCACGGCCACGACGGGTCGTCGATAGGGACCAAGTTTACGCATGATGATGACCACCCTTCGCAGCGGCACGGTGCGAGTTCCGAGAGTGTTACCGAGTTGGTTACTGACTCGGATGAGGATTTCAAGAAGATGGGGTCCAAAGTATGAAAGTTACCTTGTCTACGAAAAAAGTGCTGTTTTAAGCGGGGTTTTGCTTGGGAGTTTTCTTTTTCTTTTTTTTTTCTTTCTGTCCTCGAGGATACCAATAATACCTGTCCGTATACTCTATCATTTTGATCTGTGATCTGACGGTACCTAGTCAGTTCAAGTAACGTATGTGTTATGTGTGTGCTGTCCACCTCCCAGTCCCAGCGGGTATCCATGCATGTATCTCCCTCCCAATCTCCCATCCTCCATTTTTTAATAGTCCCATCCATCCCGTCGCTCAAATCCCCTTTTCAAGTCCCTTGGTAGCCCACCAAAACCATCTCATAATACCCATCCATCAGCCCATAATAAACGTAACACTGAAATTAAATCATTAAGAGTGTGTTGTTGGCTCCCAGAGGGGTTACTTACTAGACTCACTGTCTCTACTAAAATTCAAAATCAAAATCGAAAGTTTCAGAATGTCCCGCTTCATTGTATTCAGCTGGAGGATCGTTTCGAAGCCGAGGGTTAAATCAGGATGGGTGGGGGCTGAGGACAGAGATCATTTGCATGTGGAAGTGCATGGAAATGACACTGCAATCTTCTTTGGCTACCTTCCTGTCACGGTCTAAGGCGACTAAGACCCAAATAGGCAAGTAGTTCCTTCCCGACCTACAGTTACCAGGGCAGCGAGGAAATACCCCCTTCTTCTTTGTCCTGTCAGGAATTAAGTGGCTGCCAGCCGAAGTGGATTCGTCTTGAGCTTTGTGGCCCCTGCCATAGACCGAATGAAGTCATCAGAACCGTCACCGTGTCACGGAATGGACTCGGCTCACCGCGGCCTCTGAAGTCCGGTAAAAAGTGGATCGGGTACAGTGGGTCACCAAAAAAAACGCCCAATTATTTTTTTCCCACCAAAAAAGGCCTAAACTCAACTCGAGAAACCGTTAACCAACTACGCTATCTTAATGCAAATATTCTACCAAAATTCAAGTAGAGAGATCTTTGAAAGGGGATACTAGTCAACGTTATCCGAAGGAATTCCGTCAAAGGGGGCGCGAGATCTCAAGTACCAAATTCACTTTTTGAAAAGCATCTCGATTTTCACCCACTGTAATGCGCTATAAGTCCACTATAGCCAAATTTCTTTTTCTTACTCACCTTTTAACAAATGTCATCCCACCACCAAAAGGAAGAATTTAATGCCAACCTCGTTTTCAATAACTATAATCATTTACCTCTTTCTATCTTGAGTGCATCCGTTTTTGAAAGGTGGTTGAGGTGGAAAACCGAGGAGTGACAGAGTTGAGTTTTGGCCCTTTTTGCGGGTAAAAAAATCGTTGGGCGTTTTTTTTGGAGAGGCACTGTACGTGTATTCTGCACCTTCCCTGCCTCGGCCTCCGCCAAGGTACCTGCTCGTTCGTTATTATCGGCACACACCTTTTCTTTTCTTCGAAAATCTTTCATTCAATGCCGCTAAGAACTGAGAGTTCCCATTGCGAGATCTTGCGCAGTTGTGCTCCTCTCCAAACAAACAACCATTACCGACCCCTCTCCTCTCCCCGCACCGGAACCCGAACCCCAAGCTTCGGCACGCCGAGCTACTGCAACCATGTTCACCATGCGACCCAAGACTCGACTATCCGAACTATCTGAGCAAGCAAAACTCGGTAGACAGAAGAAACCACCGAAGACCATTGACCTATAGACTTGAGCAGACAAGACTTCCCCGCATTAACAAAATAGCAAGCGCTGTAAGTAGTCAGAGATGTGATGCTACCCTCCGACCTCGTAGCTTCCGGACGCCGGTGCGGGGCCGGTGCGGGGAAGATCGCTTGGGAACATCGGAGGAGGATGATATAACAACGATTGCATTCCCAAATCCAACTGGGCGATACAACTAAACTTCCTGTCTCTTGAGAATTGCCCTGAGACAAATCCACACTGTCTTTCTCGGAGTCAACAAAGACCAAAAGAAAACATCATGACTGACCAACAACAACAACAACAACAACAACAACAACAACAACAACCCCATCCCTTCAAGAGGGTAAGTCGACCACCCCAAACCCACCTCCTCCCCTTCCTCGACTAACCATACCCCAATGACAATCACAGGTCCTAATAACAGGCGCCGGCCCCTCCGGCCTCCTCCTCGCCCTCCTCCTCTCCAAACACCGACCGAACCCCATCCCCGTGACCATCCTCGAAGCCTCCCATGAACTCGACTCCCAACCGCGCGCCGCCCACTACGGCACGCCATGCATCCCCGAATTCATCCGCGCCGGCATCGTCGAGAAGATTAGGGAGCGTGGGTTGGTGTTGTCGACGATGACTTGGCGGAAGCCGGGGAGTTTTGAGGAGGTGGGGGGGTTTGATGCGCGGGGGTTGAGGGATGTAATCCTAGAAGGGCTGGAGGGGGTTCCGGTGGGGGGTTGGGGGTTGGGGACAGGGACAGAGGGAGAGGAAGGGGCAAAGGAGAAAAAGCAGGATATGAGGACGCATTGTCTTGTGTTGCAGGATTTGTTGAAGTTGATGCTTGAGGAGTGTGTGGAGCGGGGGGTGGAGGTTTTGTGGAGGCATAAGGTTGTGGGGGTTGGGCATACGGGTGAGGATAGCAAAGGGGAGGATGGGAAGGAAGGGGGAAAAAAGGGTGCTTGGGTTGAGGTTGAGGTTACTACTGGTGAGGATGGAGAAGTGAAAGAACGGAAGAAGGTCGGTGGGGAGGGATGTATTGTGGTGGGAGCGGATGGAGCGAATAGTGCGGTTAGGAAAGGGTTGTTTGGGGATGAGTTTCCGGGGTTTACGTGGGATAGGACGATTATTGCTACCAATGTGAGTCTTGAAACCGGTACCCGGTGGGAATGCTTGATAGAGAAAGAACAGGAAGCGCATGAGAGTGGCGATGCAAGTGAAGAAGGAGCAAGTGATGACTGACTGAACAGACCTACTACGACTTCGACAAGTTCGGCTGGTCCGACGCCAACTTCATCATTGATCCCGAGAACTTTTTCGTACGTCTTCCTCCTCCCCTCCATACCTACCTCCTCCCCTATCGTCACTAACCACCACACCCCAAAAACACAGATGGCAGCCCGCATAGCCCCCTCCACACCCTCCCACCCCGCCCTCTACCGCGTCACCTACGCCGAAGTCCCCAACCTCACCCGCGCCCAATACCTCTCCCGCCAACCCTTCAAATTCCAATCCATGCTCCCCGGCTCGCCCACCCCGGACCAATACCAACTCCTCACCCTCTCCCCCTACCGGATGCACCAGCGCTGCGCGCCCTCCTTCCGCGTCGGCCGTGTGCTGCTGGTAGCAGACGCCGCGCACCTCTGCAACCCTTGGGGCGGTTTGGGTATTACGGGCGGGTTTGTCGACGTCGGCGGACTGTACGATTGTCTAGTGGGGATCTGGGATGGGAAGGCCGACGAAGAAGAGATTTTGGAACTGTATAGTGAGAAGAGGATGGAGAAGTGGAAGACGATTATTAACCCGCTGAGTCAGGAGAACTTTAGGAGGGTGAGTGGGCAGGTTGAGGTGGAGGGGGACGAGTTTTTGGGGGTTTTGAGGAAGGTCAAGGGGGATGAGGAGGGGGCGAAGGAGGTGCTGTTGGGGATGATGGGGGTTAGATATGATTTTACGCAGCATTATAGGAGGTGAGGGTGAATGATGAGGGAGGGTAACGAGGTGGGAGGGGCTGGGTGCGTTTTTTGTCTATTGGTCGAGGGAACCCCAAGTGGTGGGAAGAAACGGACAATGAATGATGCTGAAAAATGCAAGAGATGGAATTTCTTTTTCGAATTTATCCCGGCGGCTGAGCTGGAAACATCGAAGACCTCGGATCGACCATGAGAGAGGTCATTGCGCAGGAAATGGATATTGTTGTCCCCCAACATGCTTCAAGACACTCGCAGATCTCTCTACCAGACGTACTTCCAAGCTCGTGCACCTTCCCTCCCTGGAACCTCCCTGCCGCCTACTTGGCTTTTCTGGCATCAGTCCTGTCGTCGAGGTGTTGTAGCAGCACAGTATTATTGAGTGTCCACATAATTTCTTGTAGTCTGCAAGGCGCGCTTCAACACGATGAACTTTATTCGTACCGCTTCCGATATATATGGCCGGGCGTTAACCCGGGTTTTCTAAGACGAGAAGATACATTGCCCATTTGAGTGTATCGGAAGTAGTATAGACTGGGAGTTGCTTAAATAGAGCGATTGTGGGAGGAGGCTTTCCGTTCGAAAATAGTTTATTGAAAGTTGGGTCGATTATTATAGTTCTAGAGAGGCGGTCCTATTCTATTCGGTTAGGGATGTAGCGTTTGGTATTCCAATGTACATTGTTTTCTGGTATGCTGATCGCTTCGCTCAAGAATGTCCAGCTTTCTGATAGAATATTCCATTCCTTTGGGTAAACCTTATCACTACCCCGGTATAATACGGGGAGAGGGGCCGGGTTTAGGGACGGGACTCTCCGCTGGGGTAGGAAAAAGGAACGGCCCGGATCTCTTAGCTCGGTAACCAAAACCAACAACACCACCAACAACAAAAACAACGATGGCGCATCTCCCTCTCTTCGTCACTGGTCTTCAATCCTCTCTGGGCATACCCCTCGCCGCCACCCCCCCACCGCGGGGATGAAAAAATCCGACTGGACGACGATGGGATACCAAGCATTCAGCCTCATTTTAGCCGGTTTAGACTATCTACTACATAAAAGGTAAAAGGAGGAGAGCAAGAGGGCTGATGAGGCTGAGGAGAATCGTTTTCCTCGTCTTTTTTCTGATCTTCAACCACACTGCACATACACACTGGCCACAGGCACAGGAACAACTACAACCACAACAACAACAACAACAACAACAACAACAACAACAACACCACCAACAACAATGGCGCCTCCACCCAACCTCACCACCACCGCCGCCTGCCCGACATGCAACGCCCCCCGCCTCCAATCTCCCAACCAGTTGGGGCTCCCTGAGATCTGCCCGTGGCCCTATGCTGCCGGCCTTGATGGGCAGCAAAGCCGAAGTCTTTCTTCTGGCCTCCTGCCACATCCACTCACCAACACACCACTGACACACTGACAGAGCAGCAGAAAGTTACCAAACAACAACAACAACAACAAATGCGCGCGTGGCCAACGCCGAAAAGGAAATCGGCCAAATGCAACATAAACACGCGGAGCAATTGGAGACGTTACAACAACAGAACTCAAAGTCAATCGAGAATACAAAGACGACCTATGAGAAGGCTAAAGCCATCGACCAGCAGGCCAATACAGTCAAAGGACGCCATTATCGAGCAGATGAACAACAATCTGTAAAAGGAAAGAAGGAGGGCCGATGAGAATGGCGCCAAGATGTCAATAACCATTGAGCCGGCAAGAACCTCGAGACCGGGAATGGACCAGCACCCAACCCTTCAGAACTAGAACAACGGCGCCTGAGGCCCGGCTCCGGGACGGCCAACCCGCCCACCACCACTTCGGCTTTCTCCAAATTCAGCTTGAGATCCTCGTTCAACTCATAGTCCTCTTTGAGTCCCTCGCATGCCTCCGCTAAGGCCTTCGTCTGGGGATGATCGGGACCCAGTTTGTCGGTCTGGAGGCTAAGTAAGCATCGCCTCCTCCCCTCCGCCGACAAATCACATATGCAGGATAAATGTTTGTCCTGCATGTGATTGCCACGACAGTGGTGCACCAAGACAAATGGAAAAATGTGAATTTACATTCCTTTTTACAACAAATAGTGTCGATTTTGCTCCTACGGTCGCAGACATCCTCAAGGGTATCAACCCTCCTACAATTGGACAGCTGAAGTCTCTACCCGATCAATTTTCGAGAGATGATTGCGGTGTTTATGTATTGGTACTGGAGAAACCAAACTCGAAACAGGCTATCTATGTAGGATCGAGTACAAACAGCGAGGGGAATTAGATTCCGAGTCAGACAACATCGAAACGCTACCGCCGGCATTCACAAAACGAACACGTCTGAAGGGGTGCAACACAGGATTATCGTTGGAGGTTCCCCGCCTGGCGTTTGGCATTGCTGGAATTACAGATATGTTCTTCCGCATCTTTTACGTTTGTTGCTGTATAGCTGTTAACTGCGCCCAACTTGAAGTAGGACATCAGATGAAAGGACGAGTAGGGAAGAAAGGTTGTCGATGCGGATATATTCGTCTGAAGTTTTCATCGTCCTGAAAAACATTCGATGAATGTGAGGTCTCTCTTTGGTCTCTTTCAACTAGAGTGTCTCGCTGCCTTCCTTGTTCAAAAGATTCTAAGACCATCAAGCATTGTAGAAAGCCAAACCAGCCGTTCTGTCTTGATCGTGGACCAGCATCACTCACAACGTGTGCCTACCTCTAGACTACCTATTAGTTCCTTCCCGTCTCGAAGGAAAATAAAAAGCCCCCCGCTCTTACCCAGCATGATCCAGCCAGAGAGGAGGAGCAATTACATCAGCGTCCTCCTAAGGTATCAGGCATCTTTTGAACCCCCAGCCCGAGCCCATCGAAGAAATCCACCTCCCCACAATCGAGCCCGAACTTTTCGCCCTCCTAGTCAAGTGGCTCTACGCCACAGGCTTCGCCAACTCGGGCGGGCAAAAGTTCTTCAACTTCCCCCTTCCCCCATTCGACAACGTCACCGTGCGCAACTACCAGCCTTTATGCCTACAAAGACCGAGGCATCGTCCATGCTACATTGACAAACACCCAGTGGGCTTCGTCGATCGTATATGGGGGATTATGTTCCCATGAGTCCTGGTCAGAAGGTCTTAAACAACCCCGAGGGTATGCGCTTGGCCTTAAAGGAGCCGAACTCGATCGGCTGAGGGACATCCGGTAGTTATGGAGTCCGGCGCCGATTGCAAAATTCGAGATGGGAGAATCTTGGGAGGGGGAGCCGGGAATTTCCGGCGTGAGAGGTTGCTGCGGCGCCGACTGGCCAAGTTGAAAGTAGTTATACAGCTGGGCAACAGAATCGGCGGTGATTAACTGAGATGCTAACCAATCGTCAACAGTATGTTGAATGTGTTGAATGGGTTCGTAGAGGTGCGTGTATAGGTTGTACATCCGCCGCTGGCCAATTCGGCGATCTTCTCCGGGGGTTTTAGCCCATTGGTGGCGGCCGGCGTGGCGGCGACGACGGTGATGGTGCTCACGGCGGCGGCGATAGTGCTGGTTGGGATGACGGGCATGGTGGCCGTGGTGGTTCTTGTTGTTGTTGGGTATCGTTTTTAATTTATAGAGGTTCGATAGAAAACGAATCCGACATTAGCGGTTTAAAACAATAGCTGGGCCATGAGGGGAAACAAGAGCCGGGCCAAACGAAACAACAGCCGGAGCAGAGGCAGAAACGGCAACCGGAGCGGAAGCAGAAACACCAACCGGAGCGGAGGCAGAAACAGGAGCCGGAGCGGAGGCAAAGACAGGAGCCGAGCCAGGGGCAAAGGAGGAGGCGGGACCGGGAGCAAACCCAGAAGCAGATCCAGAAGCAGACCCAGAAGCAGAAGTGGACGACAATTGGGGAATGTGGCCACAATTGCCCGCCAACTATATCCCCAAACGTTGGACCCAAACCCACCGCGGTCTACTTTGTTGGTTAGCTCCCCCCTTCCTCCGTAGTGGCGACCGCCAGTTGTTGCTGCTGAGATAGCAGGAGGACTGTTAATGCCATCCGTCGCGGACGGGCTACACCTTGATCCATACCGGGCGATTAGCAAGACTCCCGATCCCATCACAACAAATCGCCGCAACCCGCGCTTTACTTATAGCCATAGAGGCTGCGATGCATTGCATCTTTTGGTCAATGATGACCGACGCAGTTTGGGGATTCCATGATGCAAATGGCCAGGACCTTTGACCTTGGCCCAAGGGCAACTACCAGCATATCGGAATCAATAGATCGAACCCTCTACACTGGGCCATTGCAGGACTTAAGAGGAAGCATCATCTCAATGATGAGGAAGCAACAGAGAGAAAGGAGGCAATGCGTGCGGAAAGAACAGCATGGCATAGGAGATGGAACGAAAACAACAGAACAACCAAGCGTTACTATTGCGAACATTGCGACGAGGAAGACATGGTCTTTCATTGCCGGCCGCGTCAAAGCTGTCATCCGAGGAAGAAGAGTCCGACACGACAAAGGGAGAGTCTTCGCAGCCGTTGCTCGCGGTTCTACTGCGACATGGTACCAATATTGTCGATGGACAAAAGATAGAGGAGAGAGTATGAGGTTCCAACAAGGACTGATGAAGAATGGGATGGAGATGGGGAAAAGAGAAAGCTCCCAAGGCCTGGGGAGGCGGCCGGTCATTAAATACGAGGAATCTCGTGGCCAACCTGGCTCCTGGGGGAGCAGCAGTGTTACCACCAGACTGACGGCTGGACGCCCATCCTTCTTCTCGAGGACGAGAAGGTAGATTGCCCATCGGCAATGGAGGGGGGTCCGGCGAGCAAGGAGGACACCGACGGGAGAGAGCCCGTTTTCTGACCTCATGTCTCTGGCATTCCACTTCCCACTTCACCTGGTGTGTTCCCAGCAGCTCGCTCACCAGCAGCTCACTCCCCAACAGCTCGGCACGTTCCCCAACAGCTCGGCTCGTTCCCCAGCAGCTCGCTCACCAGCACTTGTCCACCGCTCATCATGTCGAATTTAAACCGAGACAGCACAGAAGCGTCCGGCTACCTAAGAAGGCCAGTGTCTCGCCAGACCTGACCCAAACGGAGGCATTCCGAACCATGGACGCGCGCTCGATTACCTGCACCAATCTATCCAACCATGGCACATGGCTGGCCACGCATCAAGATCCTCCTTCCCATTGAGCCTCGCCATTATCACCAGTCTCCGCGCCAGTTTACCTAAGCGTCACTCTCTGCCCCAGGTTCGAAGCCTGGCCCTTCTCGCAGAAATTAAGAGGTCTATCAACACGTACGACAAAGTGCGTAGGTAAACAATAGGTATACGATTACTCAAAAAGCCTTACTTTGTACCTACTTCGCCAATCCCTCCTGACGATACGTACCTTATGGTACGGGCAGTTTTTAAGACTACCTGTTGAAACAATGGATGGTCACCGATACCCTACGTATGGGCTTACGACATTTCCAAACATACCTCTATCTTTTGACGATTTACAAATTCCAGATAATTGCCCCGTGGCCCCGTGAGGCCCTACCTACCATTTGACGGGATATGTACCTTGCTATGGAGCAATGCTCCTCGTTGAGTGCCTTGGAAGGCTTTGGGCTAGGTATTCGGCGCTTCTCATCTTGGAATTCAATGGGCAAAAAAGCAGGAGAAGGGAAGCAAAGGGATTCAGGTTCAGGTTCAGGTAGGTACCTGCAGTATCAGGTCTGAAGCCTGCATACCTACCTCTCCTTACCGGCTTACCTTGGTACCTACATATGCCCCTACATCATGATTCTTGTCGTCCTCGCTCTCGCTCCGGGCTGGCAGCTCCAACTCGCCAAGCGAGTACGTAAACCTGCAACAGCGAGCAACGAGCATGGCATTAAGTCCACTGTCCTGACAGTCATCAACGTGGTCAGGATTCGTACCTCCTGAAGGCGGAATTGGCAAGTACTTCAGGCTACCTGCAAGGAGTGAACATCACTTGAAATTGCTGTGGCATGCCTGGTGTCCGCCCTAACCTGCTCTTCACTTCACTTCAATTCAGCGACCCCCATGGCCACACGAAAAACCGGAGGATCCTCCTCTGCGAGAACGTGTCATCAAGTTTCCAAGCTTTCCGTCTGCAGTGTGTACCTGTCACCTGGTTCCTGACGCACGCATGCAAGAACCTTTTCCCTTGTGCCTGTGATCCATTATCTTGGTGAGATCATGCCCTAACACTTATCACAAGACACTTCGCCGTCTCACTTGATTGCTACAAAATGGGATGCTCGGAATGCAAATAGAATCATCGAAATACCGCCAGGAGTTGAGTTAGATGTCCTTAGAATCATGTAGATTGCGCTAGCATCTCTGCTCTCGAGCCTCGACTTTGTACAGGGGATAGAGTATTATCTTGTGTCCAGGCGCAACTTGGGACCAATTGGTGACCTGCAAATTGGGAGCCTTGCCACACTCCTAGCCTTGCCAAACTCATAGCCCTGTCACGGATATTCAGAAGGAGCAGAACTGATGACGGACCGAGGGTGAACGAATGTAGGGGGTATTATTGGCCACCAGGACAACAACAGGAACGGCAGCAATGACAGCAACGGGGTTGCCCATCCAGACGCATAACTGAGGGGTTTTCGACCCAAACGTGTGTGTGTGTCTCTCCCCAAAGGTGTGTATCCAAACATATGTCCAGTACCGCTGATGTGTCAAAACGAGAGTTTTCGAAATTGGTATCATATTGCAAACGAATGCTCAAGTGGTCCGTAGTAGTCAAGGAAAACGTCAAAACATAAAGTCATCAAAATGCCGCCCCCCCCCCACACACAAAAGAACTTATACCCAGAAAAATGCTACTCTCTTCCCGTGCTTAACCCTTCCTTGCCTTGCCCTTGTCCTGCCTTGACCTTCCCTTGCCTGCCCTACCATCCTAAAACGCCATCATGTAACCAAAACCAAAACCAAAAACCAGAAGGCCGAACCGGAAATGACAGAAGCAAAGAAAAAAAGAGCAGATATTCCGTGTGTGCGCGCTCCATGTTGCGAGTTTCGTCATGTCCATGATCCATCCAACGTCATACCAAAGAAAGAGTCATCAAGGTTTTTCATCAACCCCTTCCTTCTTCGCCCTCATCTCTCTCGTCGACCTAGCTTGTCAGCCAGCAAGGGTTCTCACCACTGCTTCCTCTGCCCTTATATTGTGCAAAACCCTCCTTGTCACTCTTTATCTTCCTCGCAGTTTCCTTCTACCTGCTCACCCTGCTGACTCTGCCCCCCCCCCCTGTTTCAGCCTGTTCAGCAGCAGAAGAACACCTGGCTAAAAGCGATGGCGACAACACCTCTAAAGCCGATTCTTCTTCTCTTCTTCCTTCCGTACTTCCTTGCTGAGTATTTTCCTCTTCTTCCTTCCGTACTTGACTTCCTGGAAGTCTTATGGGTGCGATGCGTGCAACTGTATAATCATGCGCCCGTGACTGCCCCTGCCCACCCTAATAAGCAGCAGCCGTAGTCCCCTCACTCGAACCCACAGCCACAGCCACCAACGCCTCCAGCCTCCTAAGCGATGCCGTATCCCCGCCAGTTGGAGGACCGTGCTGATGTTGATGCGGATGAGCATGCACGGGGTGCCCGTGCGCGTTTGGATGCGGCCTCTCCAGAATCCTCTCCATCGTTGGTGGCACTCCTCCTTGCTGTTGCTGATGTCCTACCGGTGGCCCTTGGTGCTGATGCTGCTGCTGCTGCTGATAACCCTGGTGATGATGTTGTTGCAGTCCAGTTGACTGTGGCGCTTGCTGCTGCTGCGGTGGTTGTTCCCGCTCCCTAGCAGGAAACCCCTGAAACGCGGCCACATTTGGATGCATGATCCTGTCCACGTGCGCCCGTCCCTCGTGGATCGTCTCTCCGGCCGGCCCGTTCGGTCCGTGATACCAACCGTGTCTCTTGGGATCTCTTTGGGAAGGAATCACCGGAGCGGACATGGTATGGTGGTGACCCCTTCCGTAGGGTGGTGGTGGTGGTCCACTTGGCTGTTGATGTTGATGCTGGTGAGACAGAGGGGCAAGAACGGTATGCACTTCCGTGTCGAACCGCACAGTCTGCTGTTGTCCCTGAGGAGCCCGGACCCGATCTGCCTGCGACATGACAGAATGATTGACCTCGTTTGCCCATGCTGAAGCCCCATCGCGAGGCGGGGTCTGCGTGTTAATATTGAGCCCTGTCAGGCCGCGGTGGAGGTTCGTATCCCATTGGGCCGACAGTTCGCGGGGGCGGTTGAAGCCCATCTCGTTCGGATGAGGGGGCTGGTGCTGAGCAGACCGGGGAGCATCGACCATCATCGGTGACGGCAAACGGCGGGGAGGCGACAGCGGCCGATGGGGCTCGTCAAGGTCAAAGGACTCTATGCCAGGCAAACGGAAGGGCTGTGGCGATTGGTTGGCTGGGTTAGCAATCGGGGGAGGAGCATGGGGGAACTGCGAAGGCGTGATGACTTCGCGCAGCCGGCTGATGCCGTTATTGAATTCACGACTCTCCGGATGCCAGGTGCGCCGACGCCAGGCATCGTCGGCCAAGCTCGAGAGAGAATCCCGCCTCGACCAGCCGCTCGCGTTCGACACTGTGGGCGATGCTAGCAGGGTGCTCTGACTTGGCGAGAAAGCACCGTTGTTGGACGTGTTGATACCGGGAGGGCCAAAGAGGGGACCCCGAACATTGGCGCCGTGCGGTGACTGAAACGGATTGCCGCCCGAAGGCACGCTCAGACGACGGCCAGGTGTCCTAGCCCCGGCGACATACATACTGTGCGAGCGCGAGTGTGAAGAGTTTGGTGATACCATACCGGGCACCCATCGGGGGCTGTTCTGTCCGGTCGAGAAGGTGGCAGAGGTGGGAGTGCCAAAGTCGCTCGGTGAAGCACCCCTATGATAGGCGCCATCGGGACCATGGTATTCCATCGATAGCCTCGAGCGAGGGTCAGCCATGACCAATGGCGGAGGCCGGCGACGGGCATCGCTGGCACCATACGGAGCACCTAGCTGGCTGATGTTGGGAATGCTTGACGTGGACATGGACTTGGAATGACCACGCACGACGGGCATAACGCTACCCGCGGTTGCCGCCCTTGCCCTGCCACCCGCTTGGCGCACTCTGTCTGTCCTGATCTGCCTCTGAAACCTTGTCCCGGTCGCGGCGAGCGAGTCACCTGGAATCTCTTCGTTGACGTGCACGGTTTGGGCATGCTGCCTGAGGTTGTCGAGGCGGGAGAAGCGGCGACCGCAGTGGCACTGAAACGGCCTTTCACCAGTGTGTTTCCTGGAAGTGATAACAGCGTTAGCGACTCGTTATTTGTGTGCCGTCAAGATGTGTAGCGTACCTTATGTGTCGTGCCAGGTGTTCACTTCTCGTGAAACTGAGGTTACATGGCGGATAGTCTGTGCAATAAAACCTCTGCGACTTTTTCTTTTTCGACTTTGTGCCATCCGCGTTGATCTCCTCATCGTCCGATGCGTGGCCGTCTTCGCCCGCTCCCTCGCCTTCCGAGTCATCCATATCCATGTCGTCCGAGTCCTTGGACTTGCGTGAGTGCTGCGAATTTTCTCGCCTAGGCATGCTGTTGCTGCGGTCCGTGATGTCGGGGAGCTGAACAGAGTCGGGAAAGGGCGATGTGGGAAGCGGCTGTTGCGAAGCCAGTGCGCCGGCACCAAAGTTGGGTGTGCGGTTGGGCGTTGTCGTCGCAGGGTTGTTGTTGTTGGTGTTGTCGTCCAAAGGTCGGGATGACGACGACTGACTCGGGGCGGTGCTGGGTCTGGGAGTGGTTGGTGACGTTATTGTCGTCGAGTCCACCATTGGCGAGTCGGCCGAGGGCGACAACAGAGGCGTGTTGACGGGACGAAATGTTGCAGCCATGATAACGGATGGTGGCGGCGGCGGCGGCGATGTGTTGCTTGCCCGAAGACGAGACGGGATGGAAGAAAAAGCGCACTCGGGACGAGAGGCGATTGGGGAGGGAGGGGGGACCCGAGACAGTTTTGTTGAAAACAAAGAGATGACAGAAGCAGGAAGCGACTCGAAGCCTAACAACAGCACAAGAAGTGATGAGGCTGAGGTCAGGAAAGTGCTATGTAGGCACGCGCGGCAGGGGTCAAGTGCGGGGAGGGGTTCGCACTCAGCGCAACTGGAAATGAAGAAGAAGAAGAAGTGACTGGGGCTAGGATGGAAATGGAAGAGGTCGGAGGCACAGAAAGGGGCGCAATGCCGATCTTTGAAAGAGGGTCACTGTTGACTGTAGTGTATGCGGTCAAATTCCCCTGGGCCAAGGCCGTTTTTTGGTCAAGTTGTCTCGATGTCGCAGTTGTTGGTGTGGTGGTGGTGGTGGTGGTCGTTGAGGTGTTATGGTCCGAGTCGTCGTCGTCGTCGTCGTGATGTGATCTCAAAAAGCTGAGTGGAAAAAGTCAAGCGCGGGCAGTCAGACTTGTCGTCGCCTAGTAAGTAGTGTCAAAGTGGCAGTGGCAGTGGTAGTGGTGGTGATGGTGGTGGTGGTGGACTGGTGGTGGTGCCTGCGTTCAAGAGGATGGAATGGAATGGGTGATACCTTGGGTCTGACAGGATCTTGTTGGCCGGCGGAGACTGCTGGTTGGTGGGCGGCACGGTGGATATGGAATGGGTTTGCCGGGATTGTGTGTTTATCGAAGGGCGGGGCGGGAAAAAGGGTGGATATGTTGCTGAGAATCGAGTCGTCGATATGTCGTATGTCGTCCGGGGCCCAAGTGGGGAATCTGAATTTGTTTCTCTTGTCGAGTCTTCTGACACAAGGGCAGTGAGTGACTTGTCCCTTCCAACCTCAAGTATGAGTCCGGGCGCATATGTATGTACGCCAAAGGTGGAAGAAAAGGCAAAAGCAGGTCCCGAGCAGCAGAAGCACCAGCAGAATGCCACAAAAGCCCTCCCCGGTCTCTGACGAAGCGGGTTCCTTGGTGCAGGAGACAGGGGAAGTGGCAATGTATGTCCTGGCCTAACTTTTTCCGTTCCTGTCCTGCGCCTATGTGGTCCTGGCCGTGTCGTCCAGTTGGTTCCTGAGGTGGTCAGAGGTCAGAGTCCAGTCGCCCGAGTGGATATGTTGACCCTAATACCTCTCTCTCATTCACCGGGTTACTGCCTAGGGGATGCCAGATGATTGACGCCGCAGCCCGATGATTGCTTGGTGCCGTGATTGTGAGCCTCGCAGTCGCCTCTTCTTGTGCTGGCTGCTGGCCTCTTTGGTTGCATCTGTTTGAGCTGTAATGGCTGGTGGCCGCCGCCGCCCTTGCTGGCGAACTGCTCGATCAAAGGGGGGGGGGGGGATGCTACTCGATGGGGTCAACCAAACAGAACAACAGCTATGCACGCCGGTCAGGCTGGATGCCACCAATGCAATGGGTTCCCTATCGGACAAATGTGGTGTCTGTCTGTCGATGGGATCTCGGAATCGATGGGATGGGCTCAGGCTGTCCTGTTAGCGTGGCAGAGAGTGTGTACCGAAAGAGTACCGAGAGACAGGACCGGGACCCTCCCTTGCCTGAAGCTTGTTGGCCTGTCAGCGCTGAGGTTATTCGGGTGGCAGGACAGGTGACCCCGACAAAGTAGATAGCGCAGCTCGCCCAGGACCGTGGTACCTGACTTTGTAGCGACTGCTTATTGATGAGATGACCAGGCTTACGGGTACCTTGCTTGGGCTCAGATTGTGGACAAGTATGATAGCGGCCAATGGTGACTATTCTGGATCCTACGTAGCCACGGCGTTGCAGCTTGGGTGCCGTTGCTCAAAGTTCAGTCCGTGTCCCTCAAGGGCACGTTTTTGCTCCAGTTTTGCTGTGCCTGGCTGAACCTGTCAACGTTTCACAGCTTTCTTCCTTTTCTGGTATGATATCCTGAGAACGGGAGTCCGGGAACAGTCTATGAGTGCGTGCAGCAGATGGATGGCTTAGTGTCAAAGTGCACAGGCACAGGCACAGGCACAGGCACCACCGGAAACCCAAAAACTCTCACACCTCCTCAAAACTCTTTCTTCTCAACAACAAAGAAACCGGAACTCTCACACCGGTTCAGGCTGCGGCGCCATCCGGAGAAAATCGTAAAATAGGGGACGGACACTGATGGATTGGCCAAAACACAAGGGCGGCAATGTGAAGCCGGGAGCGGGGGATCTTCTCTTTTAGACTTCTCAGCCGTCAAAGAAAACGAGGGTTGAAGGAGGGGTTGGAATGCTTAGACTGTTTCATATTTGAAAAATAAGCGACCGATCCACCAGTGGGGGCTCAGCGGGCTGTGTATGATAACTGTTCTTGGTGTAGAACAGTGGGTTGAACAGACCGAGAGGTATGGTGGTATTCTGCTAGCTAGTACGAAGCGCGTACAAAATAATAGCTGATTTGGTTTATGCTTGTTCGTCATTTTTGTAGCGTCCACAGTACCGACTCCAAGGTATCGAACCCGTAGACTGTTCCGCATCTTCTACACATGGGACAATGACAAAAAGAAGAAGAATACGATTTATGTAGATGATGTCGGGACTCATTGATCGACGACGAATCGGATCAAAGTGGAATGATGAAGCTTGTTAGTGCGGAGTCTACGGACGGTAGGAACCGTACCGCAAGTCCAACAGGCATCCACTGAATCCGAACGACAAAGCCGTTTGCGGCGACAGTGACACCCGAGAGACCAGATCACCAGAGACCTGCCCAGCAGAAGTCGTGGACAACTTGCCGATTCCAGGATGAAGAGCCACTGGCGCAGGCACGCAACTCTCAATGCCCGTAATGCCCGTAGATACTGCGTAAGGCAATGCCCGTTTTCTGCCCATTCTTGGAAGTTGTCCTGACATTGCCCTGCCCTGCCCAGCGCGGCGCCCGCATGATGACGGGGTGGAGATATCATTGTTGGCTCAAGCTCAAGCTCAAGCTCGAGCCGCGTAGGCCGTCCCGCAGCCAAAAAAAGGTACGGGTACACCCTCAGGCACCGCCAGGGTCAAAAGACCTTCGTTCCTAGTTCATGCACATGTGTTAGTGGCAGGTTCACAGGGGCAACTTACAGCCGCGTCTTTCAACATCCAGGCCCCAGGGGCAGTCAGCCTGTTTTGGCGACAGAACAAATTCTTGTTTAGACCAGGGGGTTCCCATTGACCGTTCTGTCGGTCTTCGTTTTTTTGACCAAGGGATACCTCTAGCTTCTGACTTGTGCTCATTACAGTATGAGGCTCTGCCAGTGGCAAATTGCCTTATTCCAGGTACGATGCGAGGTACTGGGCGCGGCCCATCCATGTCCATCGACATCCGGATATCTCGGTACCTCGGTGTCAACGGGTTGAATATCAGATGGATGATACCACCCTACCTATGTGTCCATCTCACTAATGATATTGCCGTCCAGGTCATGGGAACAATAAACTGACCTGTTACTCCTCTGCCAGCCGAGTGCAACTCATCACCATATCACCATTGCACAAAATTCTCTGAGTAAGTCAGGACCACCGGCAGCAGCAACCAGCAAGGGCCCGCCAGGAACCGTATACCTACCAAGCAACGGAGGAGAGTTGGCGGTGAATCCCCGTGTGGCAAGTGCGGTGCCCTGTCGCACTGTTATACCAACCTTCGCCTTGCCCGGTGTCTCTGTAACTCCAACTTCCTGTGTGCCTGTGTCCCGGTTCCCTATTCGGAGTTCGGGTGCCTGACCGACCAGCCTGGGCGACCTTGTATCCACGTCTTATCCACCCCTCATATATGGTACCTAATGGCGGAATGGGTGTGTGTGATATGCAAGGACAGAGGAGCAGCGTACCTGAATGCCTGCTTGTGCCTGGTCCAGCTCGCTGCTTGGTTCCAATGGTTCCTGAACGTCACACGCTCCCCTGGGTCCAATGAAATGCAGGATGCAAATGGGGAATGACTGCGACTGGGACTCTGGAAGGGAAGGGAGGGGCCATGGCAGGGCCGACGCGCAAAGGTTGTTCGAGAACAACGAGACGGAAAGGCTGGAGACCTTTTAGCGTCAAGAGGGTACGATCGGATTCCGCCCGTTCCATCTCGCCGGTTTCTCTCCGAGTTCGTGTTACCCTCCCTCGTTGCCTTGGGTGCCTCTCGCTGAGACACTTGAAGCTTAGTTGTTGCGGCATGTGCTACGGCACAGCGTTGCTTCAGCCCCAGACAAGCAGTGTCATTTTGCTTTGTTTCCAAATGCAGCTCTTCTCCTGGCAGAGGTCAAGTGTGTCGCTGGAAATGTTCGAACAAAATATTTCGCTTGCTTGCTTGCTTCTGCTGTCTGTAGAATAGCGAGGAACAAGTTTCTTGATCGGCCACTTCTGCAGTTTGTTGACGTGATACTGCATGAGCAGCACACCGATGGGCAAAGTAGGTACCCAGATTCCAGGTCCAGGCCTTGAGGTGATAAACCCAGTGTCAACCAGTGTCAGGATGCCGCTGTCCGCGTCATCGCATGCCTTTTGTCCCTCAGTGACACGACTATGTGTTACCAGGACGACACCGCTCTTCGGTCCCAGCTATGTTGGTGGTCGTCGTCGTTGTCGTGAGCTGCCGTTATTTTGCTAGTCGTTGTTGTTGTTGTTGTCGTCGTCATCGTATGGAGGATTTTCCCATGGCCATCAAGAGTGTTGACTGGTTTGGATATTCGAGAAGGAACGTTGAAAATCGATTTCGTTTTCCGGTGCAAGTTGAAAATTGTCGGATGCAGTCATGTTCACTAACACGCTAACATTTGGTAACTGATGTGCCGATTGGCAGGCTCACCAAAGCACTGATCTGCGCGGCTCAACGCTCGTCAACCGCTTCAGGACTTCAGGTACCTTATCGCGGGACATGGAGGGGGATAAGAGCTGTTAGCCAAAGAAATTGCTTGGTCATGGCGTCATTTGGTTTGGGATCATGCAGGAGCGAGCAGAGCAGTGGGGCTACTCGGGTGGGGGCACTCTTTCAGATCCAAACTCCACTGAAAGTGGAAAGGAAACAGGGGTTGCTAGCGCCTTCCCTAGCTGCTGGCTAGTGATGCATCCATCTGCTGATGAATGATGCCTGATGCCGGCAGCGGCTAGGAACAGAAATCCATTCTCTTGTGCCTGAAATTTCAACGTCATGACCAATTCCTTGGACTGCCGCCGCATGCGGTCGGCCTTGAACGGCATCCGGTGAAACAAGAGGATATAAAGCCAATATGCCTATCTGACTTGTCGCCTGGGACCGAATTGGTTTTCACAAGGCCAAAAGCCGTTTAGGGTGCAGTTATGCCACCG